CACTCCAACTAGCCTTCAGTTGTACCAGTTTACTTGCATTTAGTCAACGTACATTGTGTTATAACTTCCAGTTTGTTGGACATCTTTTTCATATTTTATTGAATCTCCAAAGTTTGATAGAATATTTTCAGCCATGCTCAACAATAATCAGCAATCTATGGATTTGAATCAGCTCATCCAAACTGTTCAACAACAACAGCAACAACTGGTCTCTCTCACCGAGCGAGTACAGCAACATGACAATCTCCTTGCTCGCCTGGACCTTTTGGAAAAGGAAAATGGAGAATTGAAAAATCAGTTACAGGCCAAGGACCTTGCAATTGAAAAATTACAGGGCCAACTCTCATCCCGCCGCACCAATCAAGGTGCTCAATCCAGCTCTCAGGTAACACCAACCCAAGAGCTTGTTACTATTCACCAACCCGATGCTACTCAAGGTAGCTACGCATCTGCTGCCCGTAAAGGTGCCCAACATCGTGACCCTGCCCGTACTACCAAGCGACGTCTTGCTGCAGGTCGTATGTTCCAAACCGCCACCACCAAAGGTCAACAAGGATACCAGTATGTGTATCTAGGCCGCTCTGGTAAAATCCTGCGCTCTGAGGTTCGTTACCAACTTCGCCGAGCTGGTATTGATACTGGCCGTGTGTTAGACATCTGTTTCCCTGCCACTGGCGTCATTGGCATCTTGCTCCACATCCAATATGTAGAGGAGTTTCTCGCCTGTATGCGCAAATGTGAAGCTGATCACATTGAAAACTTTCAACCCTTGGATCCCAACAACATTGCTGATCCCAAATATGCTGATCTTGCCATTGAAGAGCGTGAGCAATTGATCTATGAATTCACCAACACCCGTGCTCTGCAAACCCTCTCTTTCCTTCGTCCACTCAACGTTAGTGGCGTTGGCAAATACTTTGTCTCTGCTGGCTGGATCTCTCAAGAAGAGCTAGATATAGCCGTCTCTGAAGCTATCGGTCGTCTTGCCGAGAAGGAGCCCAAAAAGGCTAAATTCTTGTTCAAGCGTCAAAAGGAAGATCATGACAGCAATGGCTCTGCTATGGAACTCTAATGAGTAACATAGCTACTAGTCATACTCCCAATAACAACCCAGTCCACTCCTTTCAAGTCTCTCTCTCCCTTTGGAATGCCAATGGTCTACGTCAATCAACAGTACATGATGTTCTCCATCATGTTCAGAACACTCATGTACTGCTTGTCACTGAAACCTGGCTAACCTCTGGTTCTTTCCCTACTAACTGGTCTCAATTCCACCTCTATGGCTCTAAAGTACCTGGTGCATTTAACCGTGGTTCTGGTGGCATTACTGCCTTTGTCTCTCCTTCCTGTCCTTTCTCTGTCTCTCAACTTCCGTCTTACAATGCACACACTTTGTCCCTTAAGGTTGGCACCCTTACGGTTCATTGTGTGTATCTGCCTCCACCCTTATCTTCGGATAAGGTGCTCTCGCTTCTTCGCTCGTTACCCGTAACCAGTGATACCATCCTTTGTGGTGATTTCAATGCTCGCTTTGGATCTCTACTGGGTGATACTAATGCTAATCCTCGTGGTACCTCACTACTGCCATGGCTGGAGGAGTCCTCTTTTTCCATTCTCAATGAGTCTTTAGCATTTGGTACACCCACATTCACAACTTTTCGACGTCAACAAGAGGTTCATAGCATCATTGATCTGTTTCTTACAAACATTGGCGAGGCTGCTCTGTTACATCCTCAACTGGTGGTTGAATCTGATCTGTCTCTTGGCTCTGATCATCGGCTGATGGTACTTACTTTCGAGTATGTGCCCCCTCCCGATGATACTCTTGGTTCTGGTAGCTCTGGTGGTTTGGCCCCTAGACGGCAATGGAAGCTCTCGAAATTGAGGAAAAAGCGGCCTTTGGGCTTGCTTCGTGAATCCTTTCGAACTTCTGTTGCTCCTTTGGTTGGTTCTCTCTCTGGTTTGGTGTCTGCTCCCCCTGGTGTTTGTCCAGATATTGATGCAATCAACGATTCTTTGAATCAATGTTTGTATGAATCTCTGGATAGCTCAATTGGTGTGAAATCTGGTCGTCCTGGCCACTGGAAAAAGTACTGGACACAGGAAATTGAGGATGCTGCTCGTGAAAGAGATACTATGTATAGTAGATGGAGGTGGGCAAGTCGTTTTGCCAAAGTCGAAACATGGAATCTCTATCAAGCTGCTCACAGGCGTTTTCGTTCTCTTGTACAAGCTGCTAAGCGTCGATCGTGGAATCAGTTTTGCTCTGATTTGGAAAAGGATTTTTCGAAAGCTACTGCTGCAATCAAGCGCATTAAAAGAAACAAGGAATGCTCTGCAACGTACAGTCATCCAGACGGTCCAACTGCCTCTGTCAACACAATGGCGTCCCATCTTGCCTCTGTCTATGATGGCTCCCTGTTGAATAATGCGTCTCGCCTTGCTGCTCCGTCCAATTTCTCTGATTTGCCTTATGATGTGTCCACCGCTGATTTGGGTCTATTTGATGCTGATACACTTGTCTCCCTCATTAAGCGTTTGCCAAATGGGAAAGCTCCTGGTCCTGATCATTTGAAAGCTGAAATGCTGAAGGCTCTAGCATCTGACATTGCACCCGTATTGTCTCTGCTCTTTACACTCTGCTCTCAGTGGTCGTATACACCAGCCCTATGGCGACATGCTCAAGTCTTTCCCATTTACAAGAAAGGTGATGTATCTGATCCTGCAAACTTTCGTCCAATTTCGCTTACTTCGGTGATGCGTAAATTGTTCGAATTCTCTCTGATGCCTGCTCTTGATGAACATTCGCCTGCACTTGATGTTGCTCAAGGTGGCTTTCGCCCACAGCGTAGTCCTCTGGATCAAGCCCTCTGTTTACATGACTTGATGCACGACTACTTCCTCACCCACCACCACTACCCTGTGGTTGCTTTCCTAGACATCAAATCAGCGTATGATACCGTGGATCGTCGAGTGATTTGGGATGCTCTCTCTCGTTCCTCTCTGCCTCGTTCAGTTCTCAGTTTGCTCATCCACATGTTCGATGATGTACTCGTGTCTGTGTTGATTGCAAATCACACCTCTGTTCCCTTTTCGCCTGCTACTGGCGTATTGCAGGGTTCAGTGCTCAGCCCTCACTTGTACTCTCTGTACATCAACTCTCTGCCTGCTGTTCTTCGTTCTGCTGTCAGTCGCGGTACTATGGTATCACCACCTGGGATGCCTAGTGTTTGCGTGAATAGCCTGCTCTTTGCTGATGATGTGGCCATATTTGGCTCTCGTACTGATGTGCAAACCATGTTGGATATCGCTTCAGATCACTCGTTCTCTCTTGGCTACAGGTGGAAACCATCAAAATGTGCTGTACTTTGTGCTCCTACTGCCTCTACTCGTCATCCATTGTCTCTATACGGTGAACCTCTTCCTGTGGTAGAGGAATTCACGTATCTTGGTATGCCGTTTAGATATAAAGGTCTGTATGCCCCTGGGATTCTCAATCTGCGTGCTTCTGGTGCTATCAAGACAATGGCATTGTTAAATTCGGTTGGTGTCAATCGAAATGGTTTTTCTCTGTTGCTTTGTGCTCGTTTGTATAAAAGCTTTATTCGTCCCAAACTGGAATACGGCTTAGCTATATCTCATCTCTCTTTCCGTGACTTCAAGGCTCTTGATGCTCTGCAAAATCGATTGGTTGGTATGTTTGTTGGTAGTACATGGTACAATGTTGCCAAACATTTGACCTGTCTTCCCAGCATGAAGCATCGATATAACGTTCTGACAACACGTTATGCCCTTCGTGCTGATACTCTCCCTGATGATTGCTTGTTGGTTCTGCTTCGTCGTGGTTTACTGTACACTCGTCTAGACAGATTTATCTGTCAAAACCCGTTGTATCTAACACTGCCTGATCCGCCGCCATTCACCACTGCTGGTCTTACTGAAGTCTTTGATTCGTATTGGCAAGATCAAGTAGATCGTCAACTTGCTGCTGCTGCTGTTTCTGGTGCTCAGACTCTCCTTCGTGCTTGTCGTCCGTCTGTCTCTCGTCCAGATCCCATCCTGTATCTGCCTATTGGTCGATCTGCTCGTAGTCGTCTTGTGCGGTGGCGTCTTGGACGTTTCACCAATATGCGTGAAGAATGTCCGTGCACTACCGGTGAGTTTATCTCCCGAGATCACTTTCTGACATGTCGTGCTCTGGATCGTACCTTTTTTGATGCTTTGCCACCTGCTCCACCTGGTGTACATCGCATTGACCATGCTCTGAACTGTCTTCCAGACAAAGCTTCAGCTGGTCCACCGTACTTTTGGTCTGCTTTGCTCCTTTTGTTGCATGCCATTGATTGCCTTGTGCATCCTCTGGCTGTGATCCCACCAGATCCAGATCCTGGATCGCTCTGGTTTTCTGCTCATTGATGAACGTTTGTTGTTTTTGCTTTCTCGGTGCGATGCCACGGTGGTAAGTAATTATCAAAGTTCCCATCCGTTGGTCATTCCTCCAGATCAAATCAACAATACCAGTACTCATGCCGATCCTCTGCAACTACCACACTTTCCTTTTTCCCTTTTTCTTCGTTAGTGTCCTCATAAGGGTTTTTTGTACCTGCTACTCTTTTGTTTCTAGAATTCTAGGCTAATGCTCCCATCGAGTGCCCATTGAATTCATGTATATAATAAAAATCAACGTTAAACTGAGCTACATCCCCATTTGCTGTGAAAATAGGACCAAAAAGTACACTATATCCCAAATAGTAAATTCTAGACCCTAGACACACCCTTTTGCCTTTTTAAGAAGGTGATTTCTTTAAGTTTTACTATAAAAGGCAGTTTATTTTGTAAAATGACGACGAAGCTGAGCGATATGGAGCGACTGACCTTTCCTTGTTTAATTCTATTCTGGGCATAATCATTTTGTATAAATATCATAATGGAATCAGTCAACTAGACTTTAGATAGAAAAAACATCAAACCTTTTTATTAAATATCTTTGTAAATAAAAGCTAGATTTTGGCATAAACATCAGCGGCAACGTCAGGCTCTTCGAATGCAATTCCCTCTCTTTGTTTTCTCTTTTCTTTTACGCTAATGCCAAATTTCTGTTCAATGCTCTTTGTCTTTTCCTCGGGTATTTGTCCATCCTTGGTGTAGGCCATCATAAGCTGAGGTTCACCTAATGGAATCTCATCACCTCTATCCACTTGCCAAAAGTGATAGGTTTTGCCGTAAGTGTTTATCAAATGCTCCATTTCCTTGAGCTCTGTGTTATCTTGCACCGTTTTGGGAACCAACCCACTGAATGGCATGAACAGAGTTCCACTTTTGACTTCATATACATGAGAATGCCAGTATTTCTTCTCTTCAACTGGAAGGGTGTCAAATTTTTTTTTGGTGATAATATATTCAATACCGATTAACTTTGCATTGGGAGAATCTGAATCGTAAATGACACACTGATGCATGTCTTCACCAACATGAGTACAGTAATGGTGTGCTTCAACAGATCTCTTTTTGTCATTGGCATAGAAGTGGAGTCCACAAACATGCTGATGGATTTGCTTGATTGGTGTGAAGCTTTGCAGCATGCCACCAGCGGCATCAAAGGCTTTAGTGAAGAGGCTCTTGTCGTTGCTGTTATCGCACATATCTTAAAAGAAAAGTATGGATGAGAGAAATCAGCAGTTGCAAATATACTGTTGGCATTTATATACCAAATCTAATGCGCGAGGGCCCGAATGATGAATTATTACGACATTGTAGTGTTGAGGCAACGTTTACATCATTTATTGTCAACTAAAAGCCATGCTTTATTCAAGGTCTATAACCCTTCTGTTTCGCATCCCCAAAACTACTCGCTCTTCTTCGTTCCAATTCGCTAAATGAAGAGGGACTTCCAATAGGAGGTTGCTGGTAGTGTGATCCCCGAGGACTGGATGAAGCTGTCAACGGACCGCCTCCTGGTGTGGTAACTGAGGGTATAACGAGGGAGGAGGAAGAGGTGGAGGCTCGAGGTATTGGACTCTCATGACCAGCATAAGATTGTCCTCGAGAAATAGCCATGGAGGTGGGTCCTAAATGAATGCCACTGGAATAAGATGAAGAGTAGGGTGCATTGATTAAACTTTGTTGACGTTGTGATGATGATACACTCAATGTCGAATCATCGTTAAATGGTATTTGCGATATCTCTTTCAAATGTTCCTGTACTGCTGTGCTGTACGCATAGTCGTAGGCTGTTGCATGTTCGTCGTTTTCAAGATCCACATTGCAGCCCTCCGACTGTCAAGAGTAATTGAATTAGTTACAAGAGCAAATACAATGATGTTTCAACATACCACTAATAGATCCATGACAGTTATATGACCCCAAGCCGATGCATAATGAAGAGCTGAATTGCCTACATTGTCGATATGATCAAAATCAGCAGAAATGGATAAAAGATACTATTGCTACTTTAGTTTGTGATGTGTATAGATGAGCGAAACTGCTTTTTACTCACACTAACGAGATTTGCATTGCCATTCTGTGCCGCATACAAAAGTGCTGTCCATCCATTTTTACTGATAGCATGAATGCATTCTGGATATTTACTGACGTACAAGAAAAAAATCTGTAATTGCGGTGAGGAGCTGGTAGTATGCATTTTTGAATTGAGAATTACCTCTTCATGGTTAAACATGGCAGCAATCATAAGCACAGTAATTCCTTCATTGTCCTGATAGCATAAATAGTTAACTATCTACGCCAGCACTTGAGTAACAACCACTTACGACTGATATTACTTCCTCTTCATGACCCAACTCTAAGAGTAATTCAACAAGGTCAACGTGGCCAAATTGTGTTGCATACATGAGCGTTGTACTATCAAAGTCAACATTTCAGTATCGATTCTTAGTTATTCTCCACAATTCCAATCATTACCATCCTGTTTCTGGATCAGGGTTTTGTATGTTTGACACTTTTCGTAATAATCGCTTTACAGCAGCTATATTACCCTCTATTTCAATAAAATTAATGGCTGCACAAAACGAGATGTGATACATTAATATACCTTTTGCCGCCTTTCTCAATCTAACAGAAGGTGTATCTCTAATGATAGCTGCCCTAGGCAAATCAAAAAAGGAGCAAAATGGCACCGTCTTTTCTTGGTGAGTATTTAATATCATGTTTGTATCATATATAAAGAGAAACCATCCTCCTGCAACACTCAAGTTCCTGTTTATCCTGCGGTTATTCAAAAATAGCGAGTTATTGACCCCTTTCAAACACGATACTGCCAACAGAAGCTTCTTTTTCTCATTCATCTTCAATGGAAGAAAACGAGCTGCTTGATCAAGAGCATGTCTGTGCGTCTCAAAGATCCCACTTTGAGCACAAGGACCAGTTTCTGAGCTTTGTAAATGCTATTACTTGTACTGAATCCAATGAAAAAGAAGCATCCGAAGCACTATCACAGTTGAGCACAATTGTAAAACCCTCCTAGAACCACCGAAAAATGCCAAAAAACTGACATTATTATTTGAACAAAACTAGCTCGACTCATATCAGGAGCAATCGCATTTGCTCGATCCCAGTCTCGAGAGCATGGTCCAACCTGTCATGACAAGGCTACGAAAAGACATTGACAGCGACAGCGATGGCTTGAATGAGAACATCATGATATTATTTCGATTTTTGTACCTATTGACAAAGACCCGAGGATTTAAAACGATTGGTAAGGAGACATGATATACATATAATCGTCTTTTCTGACAGAAATTAGTCAAATTCATGTCGCATGAGGTTACTGATTTAGAGCCGGTGTATGAGTTTTTGAACAAGATTGATTCAGAGAATACTAAACTATGGGAGGCTCGCTACATCTGCTTTATTTGGCTGTTTCTGATTTGCATGATTCCGTTCGATCTCAAGAGAATCGACAGCAATCAATCACATCAGTCTTTGATTGTCAACATGCTGGATCTATGCAAGAAATACCTCTGCTCCACTGGCAAAGAAAGAGATGGCGCTAGTCTGTTGATTGCCCGGTTACTGTCTCGACAGGATTTATGCGATGAACATATGGTGCCTTTCATTGAATGGGCAAAGCAGAGACTGAGTACGGATGCTGATGTATTTGAGGTAATGCTTCTCGGTGAGATTGCCATGTATTGTGCCTAACAAGCTTTTGCCCCTACGATAGACAACTGGTATTCTTCAAAGTCTGTGCATTACCTACCAACTAGCTCCTCGCAAAGTATTATTGCCCACATTAGACGACAGTATCATCCCACTCTTGACCATGCCGTTCTTTGATCAATACGCCAACAATGCTCTTGTACGCAAACTGAAAACCAAATTGACACAACGAGTGGGCCTCTGTTATCTAAAACCAAAAGTAGCAGCTTGGAGATATCAACGAGGCAATAGATCACTGCGTCAAAATCTAGAGGGATCACTGACAGATGGCGGTCTTGTGTCAGCAAAGCCTGGGTTGGTTGCAAAAGATGGAACCTTGGAAGATGAAGATGACAATGAGGATATATCTGATAATTTGGAGGTCGTTATTGAAATTTTGCTGAACGGGTTGGGCGACAAGGACACTATTGTCAGATGGTCTGCTGCAAAGGGCATTGGAAGAATTACACAGCGTTTGCCTCAAGAGCTGGCCGAAGACGTTATAGGCTCCATCATTGAGCTTTTCCAAGAAAACACCTTTTTGAACAAGTCTGACCAACTAGATTTGTCAGCAGTATCAGATCAGACATGGCACGGTGCTTCTTTGGCTGTAGCAGAACTAGCAAGAAGAGGATTATTGCTGCCTGATAGATTGAAGGAGGCGATACCATGGATTTTGAGGGGCCTCAAGTTTGATTTGAAGCGTGGATCTCACTCAATTGGTGCTCATGTCAGAGATGCTTGTTGCTACGTTTGCTGGGCATTTGCAAGAGCCTATGCGCCTGACATCATCCAACCTTTTGTCGCTGAAATTGCTCAAAATTTGGTCGTCGTTTCTGTGTTTGACAGAGAGATCAATGTCCGTAGAGCGAGTAGTGCGGCTTTCCAGGAAAACGTAGGCAGACAAGGCATTTTCCCTCATGGCATTGATATCATTCAAAAGGCAGACTATTTTTCCCTCGGAAACAGAAACAATGCATTCTTGAGCATTTCTTATGACATTGCAGAGTAAGGAGATGGATAGTAATCGATGTTGGGTAGACTAACTTGTGTAATTAGGTTTAAAGAATACCGCTATCATTTGATCGAACACCTTATATTCGTCACAGCCAGACATTGGGACAAATCCATGCGCGTTTTAGCATCCAAAGCACTGTACAGATTGGTTTCACTTGACCCTCATTACTTTATTGACAAGGCATTGAGCTACCTGGTAATATCCTCGTCAAGTCGAGTTTGCTTCATGTACTCAATCATCGTTACAGATACCCAACGCCACAAGCACTGATATGCAGGTCTCTCACGGTGCCTTGCTGGCCATTGCAGAGATCTGTTTAGCCCTTGTGGAGACCAAGGATACTGATATCATTGCATTTTACCACAAGCATACCACCTCTGTATTAGCACCTATTGTGTCGAATTTGCCGCCAAAATCACTCACCACATTTGGATCGGAACATGTGCGAGAAGCTGCCTGTCATCTCATCACTTGCCTCTCTAAAATGAAACTGGTAATTGATGCGACACATCTGCAAGATTGGAAGAAAATGGTGCACACGTCTTTGGAGCGTAAGGAGGAAAGTGTGCAAGGCTTTGCTGTGCTTGCTTATGGAGCCATTGCTCAGTCCTACGGCCTCGAAAATGAAGAGATTGAGCAAGCACTAAAGAACGTTGACACACAACATGCCAATTACTATAGTCGACGTGGCTATGGTCTTGCTCTAGGCACAATTGACTACCGTCAACATGTGGATTGGGTGCATCGGGTTGTTATTCAACTGTGCAAGTCATCTCAAGTGCAGGTAGGCTCATTTGCAGCGAGACGCAAGGATTATGTAACTGAATACGACTTGGAACAGGAAAATCCAGTGGCAAATGATGCTGTATCTAAGCGTAATGCGGTAATTGGGCTCCATGACATCTTGAATAACCTGGGCGATGGTATAAAATCAGGTATGCTGTATGAACTTGGTGGTGGCTTCTGAGCTAACTAGCTTCTAGCTGTATCTTACGACGACTTCCAATACATTATGGCTTCCATCGAAGCTTGTTTGACTGATTATAGTACGGATCAAAGAGGTGATGTGGGTTCTTGGGTCCGTATACCTTCCATGGAGCTTTTGAATGATGTCCTTCCTCGCATGTCCAAGCTGGATGCTCAATCTCATAGTCCGCGCTACCTTGAAATGACCAGTACAACCAATTTGATAGCTGCTCTGCTGAAGCAAAGTGTTGAACGTATTGATAAAGTGAGATCAATCGCTGGTAAGGTGCTTTGTGAATTGATTTTGAACGCGGAACAGCTCCAGTATCCTGGTCAAGACTACTTGAAATCGCATATCCATCAGTAAGTTGTATCAGAAACGAGCAAACCTGATTCTTATCATTTTCTTCAAGGAATCTGCAGTGGTCTTCGCCATCCGATTTATACCCTGTCATGGTGCATATATTAAAGATACAAGAGTACCGACTTGATTTATTGACTGGACTGATATCGAGTGCTGGAGGCTTAACAGAGTCATTGGTAGGTTGAACTGTAGATATGAAAGGCATTTTTACCAACTCGCATTAGGTGCGTCACTCAAGTTCATGCTTGATTGAATACATGGACAGCTTGACCATCACTGAGCCCGCAGATCCTTCTTTGGAGGCTCTTTTCACAACACTTTTGGATATTGCTGTCAAGTATGAGAAGCAAGATCGTGTCACTATACCTTTGCTAGATGTCTTGGGTCTTTTGTATGAGTCTGGCACACTGACCAAGATCAACAACAACTCCTTGTAAATATATACCATCATGCCCTAGCCAACTAACCACCGACTTTTTGTTTTAGGCATTTGAAGCTCTTTACGATTGTCAGAAAAGAAATGTTCAAGTGTAGAAATGTGCGCAAACTGCTGTCATCCATCAAAGTGTAGTGTATCTCGCGTCTGACATAGGCATATTGATATACTGATCCTGTCTTGCAGGTACATTGGTCTGATTTCTATAGATAATTCGCACGTCAAAGTGAAGGCGATACAGCAAATGCTCTCCTATCTTGTACATGCATTCCCAAGAGTAAGTTGTAAGCACTCCTCACAGATATACCTGAATTAACACTTTGAATAGATCCGAATTGAAGCTTCCGATCAGCTGTTCACTCAATTTTCTGTTTCTGAGGAGGCTGACGAAGACATGGATATGATGGAGGCTATTGAAATCATTACAGGCACTGACTGGTAAGTCATTCTTCAAGTTGCTCGTGCCCATTGTGTGTTCTAATACGTGTATGCTGAATCAGGACTGAGCCACTGTCTCAAATCAAGCCCCAAAGAGACCAGTTGTATGCGCTGTTGAAGGTTCCCAAGCCAGTTCTTGTAAAGAAATAAATGTCTACCTGTCAAACAATCGCATAAAGTACCCCCCCTTTGAATTCACCTGTCAAACCCTGAATGGCAGAGTGGCTTGTCCTAATGTCTGTTTTTTCCTTTGCCTAATTTCATGCCAAAAAAGAATGCAAATGTCGAATTTAAAATTTTACCTTTTTCTTTCTATACATACACATGGGTAAATTGAAGAGAAAGAAGTTGGCAAATGCGCTTGATCGCATGCTCAAGAAAAACGAAAAGAGAAGAGTACAACAAGTCAAAGTAGATGCTTACAACGACAACATTGAAAGGGCCAAAAAGAATCAAGTCAAGCCTAAAACACCCAAAACCGTGGAGAGAGTCCGTGTTCGTCCTCAGTACAGCTCTAAAGACAAAATCCTGTTGATTGGCGAGGGAAATTTCTCATTTGCTCGTTCCTTGTGCGAAAACTACTTGGACGAAGGCGCAGAGAACCTCACAGCTACATGTTATGATTCCGAGAAAGTGTTGTATGAAAAATACGGTGATGAAGCCAAGGACAATATTGCATTTGTGCGTGAATTCGGTGGCATTGTGCTGTTTGAAGTGGATGGAACTGACTTACCAAAGGATGTCAAGAAGAATCGATATACAAAGATTGTGTTCAACTTTCCTCATGCCGGTAAGAACAGAGCTCTAAGGCACTTGCTGATGTCTGTTGACTGATGTGCAATCATATAGGTCTGGGTATCAAGGATCAAGATCGCAATATTGTTGCAAACCAAAAGTTATTGAACGGCTTCTTTGATGCAGCTGAACCTCTCTTAACCACAGAAGCCCAAGACGACATACCAGCCCACAAATCGGAAAGCAGGCAAGTGGAGGAGAGTGTGGTGCCCGACGGCGAGATCCATGTTACCTTAAAGACATGTACGCCTTACAACTTATGGGGCGTCAAGAGTTTGGTCAAGGCAAAAGGTGTGCTGGCAGTTCGCGGCACAGCACCCTTTTTTGCAGATGATTTTCCTGGTTATGAACATCGCCGTACACTAGGATTCAAGGAGGGATTGAGCAAAGGTGCAAATGCAGAGATTCTATCATCGGATCCCAAGAGATACATTTTTGTGAGAAAGGAGGTGATGGACGCTGAAAATGAAAAGGCCATCAAGGGTGCTCAAAAGAGAAAATTGGAGATTTTAAAGATTCAGATGGGCAAGAAAGTGAAGAGAAAGAAGACGCAACATTCCAATTCGGATGATGAAGAGTAGCTGCTATCAATGTATTTATAATAATAAAAATGAAATGTACACTGAAGTTAAATGAATGAGCCTTGCATTGGCCTGGTTGATACTCTGCCTGCTGGAATAAGCTGATTTGACTCCGAAGAAGGTGCTTTTGCACTTCTTTTTTCCTCTACAGCAAACTATAATATGAAAACGTTGAAAGAATTCAAGACTTATGATCCAGTAACGAGAACACACAATACATAGACGAGGAAGCTCACGTCTAACTGCTTTTTTTCCCCCCTTCCAAGCAAAGTCGCCATAAGCAACTCATGAAGGAGTACTTGCAACGACAGATAAAACCAACACGACACATCCCTGCCGTGTATAAAACTGAAAAAGACATTATCCAAGAGAACCACAAGTGAGTAACCAATGCTTCAGTATCTGGCTGTTGAATGCTGAGCAGCTGGCAGGTTTGTGCGTTCAGATATAGACGATGATGAACTCACATGGGGACAACGGGTGGCCAAGAAATACTACGACAAATTGTTCAAAGAGTACGCCATTTGTGAATTAAAGTACTACAAAGAGGGCAAGATCGCCTTGAGATGGAGAACAGAGAAAGAGGTCATTGTAGGCAAGGGCCAATTCATTTGTGCATCGACTCGCTGTGATGAGACAAAGAAGCTGCAGAGCTGGGAAGTGAATTTTGGATATATGGAGGATGGCGAAAAGAAGAACGAACTGGTCAAGGTTAGATTATGCCCTGAATGCTCTGACAAATTGAACTACAAGACAAAGAAGAGATTGGCCAAGACGCTCAAACGAAAATCAAGAGAGGAGCAAACATCGAAAAGCAAGAGCAAGAGGCAGAGACGACATTCCAGTGCATCTTCCTCAGCCTCTGATGACGATGACGAGGATGATGTGTGTGGTGATACTGGAAAGGATAAAGGTAGGTTAACTCTACGCAGACAGTATACCAGTAAGCTAAATTGTTGCTAGGTGAACACGATACATTTGCACAGGAATCATCGTCTATATGGAGCAAGCCCTTGGAGACGAAGGAAGAGAAATCAAAGGAAGAGGAATACGAGGACTATTTTGCTGATCTGCTGCAATAGTCTATCCAATCTCAGGTTGATTCAAAAGCGTCAATTTTGCCACAAAAGATCAATAAAAGGAAGAGCTGTGTCATACTCAAATCAATATGCAACGTCTCTTTCCCAAGAAGCATCACTTGCAGATAAAACATGGTTACACATTGAATGACCATGGTGCCAAATATGCTAAGCCTGAAATGCCATTTGTGCCAGCAACTTCTACTACGCCGCTGATCTGATTCAACGAATAGTTTTACTTGGTTTCCAGTTACACATCTGTAACAAAGAAATGCTTGGTAGTTGCAATTTGAGTCAATGACAACAGTAAAGCACCCGCATCCATAGCGGTGTCTGTCTGTAATGAAATTCATGTAACCAAATGGATCCGAGACCAATGCCATCATGACCCTGTGCTTAGCAAACAACAACAATGCTGGTTCGCCTGGTGCTTAGCATGTTTTCTTGTACCGTTAGTTTGCATATGACTCAAACAGATAGAGATGGTACCTTTTCTAGCTTGGCATCAACATACTATAAAAAATCAAGCAGTTTGTTTATTGATTTAGCTCTTTATCAGACATGAAATTAAGCCATCTAGGTAAATCGCTTCTTTTATACTGACATTATCAATGCTAACTTTGTTGAAACAGCCGTTCATTTACAATTGTCATTCTTAGCGTCACTTGCTTCAGCACAGAGCAGCAATGTTACCTACAATGTCATTGCCTCGCCGCCCACTGCAGACATGTCTGTTGCCGTGGTTGTCGACAACAACACCTACCGCTTGAAGGCTCCAACGATTGGCGATCTCTTGTATTCTGGAAGTGCACCGGCAGCTAAAAACGAATACCATTATGTTATTCTGGACAGCGCCAATCAAGTAAATGCGTCTGAGGCTTTTACTCGTGCGCCTGTCTTGAACGAAAGCACGACAAACGAGTTTTTTAATCGCTCCATAAGCACTCATCAACTCACCTATTTACCCCAAGTCTATGAGCCTGCCCGTGTGATTGATCGCATAGACTCCAACCTCCATCATCTCGACCAGATTCCGACAATCCATATCTGGGGAAATCAAACCGCAGTTGATCTTTTGCACAAGAATCAATTAGAAGATCTCGAGTTTGAGTTCAATCTCACCTACTACGGGTAAATACTTATAAGCATCGCATGGTAGCTATATAAGCGTAAACTGACAGCATACATATTATAGCTTGAGTGACGTTCAACATTTTGAAAAAGTAAAGGTAGCCTTGTCTGGCCGCTCATCTAGAGTGATTCCCAAACTGTCCTACTCTTTGAAGATGAAGACAAAAGGTGGCGATAGCTTGTATGGCTACAAGAAGCTCAAGCTGCGAGCGCTTGGCATGGATCCCTCCTATGTCCGAGAATGCGTCTCTTATTCTACATTGAAGGCAATAGGAATTCCTGCCAGTGGATTCTCCTACATACGGTAAGTGCGATCCATATGCCACATTAGCGCATGTATTTACTCATCGTGCCTACTAGTGCTTTTATCAATCAAAAACCTATTGGGCTTTACGGTTTGATAGAGACATTCCAAGACCCATGGACGGCAAATGAGTTTGGTGGCGGTGATGCCAACTATAAATCAGGATACTTGTACCAGGGCCAAATAGCAGCTCCAAACCAAACTGTCCCTGTATTCTCTGATCTATCATACTATGGCGAGAACACTACTCTATACAGTCTTGGTCAATACAAGATCAAAGCAGGCACTGACAAAAACGAAACAGCAGACGATTTCAAAGATCTCCAAGAGTTTACAAAGTTTATCAATGATACCACCAGTAATACAACTGTGGACGAGTGGGAGAAGCACCTGGACACAGAGATCTTTACTCGAGCCATGGCTGTTGAGAACCTGTTGGGCTTTTCAGATGCTTACATGACTCTACTGGACAATTTCTACGTGTACAATGACCCCAAAAACCCAGGAAGATACATCTACATTCCTGCTGATCTCGATACCACCATCGGTATTGCTCTCTATGAGCTGGACTATCTATTGAGTGGCGATTATAGCAAACATCCAGGCTTCAACCTTCGACCATTGACTAGCAAACTCTTTTCCAATCAAATCATGTTGGATCACTATCAACATGTCCTGCTTAACTTGACACAGCAATTGATCAATCCAACCACCATGTATCCATTTATAGACAGTGTTGTCAAGATGATCTACACTGATATTGAATGGGATCAAACTCTTCCTGGTATGGGCACATTTCAACTACCCAACATGGACAATATGGATCCAGGCGCTGGTGGTGATGGAAACAGTACAACCTCTTTCCCTCCTATTTTTGGCCCTGGATTCAGAACCAATTGGAGCGATGTTCCTCAGACATTTGATTCATCCTTGAACGGACCGACTAACTCTACTACAATGGAGAGTGTCAAGGGTTTCATAGCTAGAAAGAGTGCTAATATTCTGGCCTTTTATAATAAACATTAATCTCTTTCTTGCCATTGACTTGATGCATTGTAAAATGCTTACAAACTTCATACCAATTCCAGTCTTGGAAATAGAACTCGCTCTACCCCATATCAACAGACAATTGTGATGCTTTTTACACTCTTCTCGATTTCTTTAATGTATAATTTTAGGTGAAAAGCTTGATATAGAGTATTACAAATGAAAAAGAAACAAGCAAGAAGAAAAGGGGTTTGAGATGGAGGAGGTGGGGGGGGGGGAGGGGGAAATAATTATAAAAAAAAGAGAAAATCTAAATGCTAATAGTCTTGAAAATGTTCAAACCAGTACTTGCTGTACTAATGATACAGCCAGGTATTTGTCTATGGAAGTGTAATTCCTTGATGTCTTCTTGACCTTGATGAACAAATAATAATTGAGGAGGCACTTCAACACCTTCGTTTGTCAAGCGACCCTCTTGTTCAGTATCAGGTTCAACGGACAAGTCCCAGAGTGTCAATTGGTTATCAGCGCCCGAGACAGCCAAGACAGACTCTTCAGTAGGATGCCATTCGATAGATGTGATGGGGCCATTGTGCCACTTGAATGTAGCAACAGGTGTAGGCTGAGAGGCACCGCCCTTGAAGGTACGCAGATCCCAAACACTGAACACACCATCATCATGACCACTTGCCAATAAATAAGAAGCCTTTTTGTTCCATGTAATCACATTGACATCGGAATTTGATGCATGAATGCCAACAGCAGAGCGCTTCTTGTTGCGAGTGTCCCAAATTTTGACAGTTTGATCAGCTGAACAAGAGGCAAACACGTTGCGTTCAGTGGGAGACCATTGAAGATCTTCGACGGATGATTTGTGTTCTCTGAATGCGACATTGTCTGTGTTGACACCAGAAGGGCTGATAGTAGAGTGATAAATGCGACCATTGTTGTCACCCGTCAACAAACGACCTGCCTCAAGACTGGACCAATCCATAGCATAACCCTCCTCACGTCCATGGTTATTGATGGTGAATAAAGGCTTTTGTTGTGTATGTGAAGGAGTACCGGGAACTTCCAAACTGGCCATAGGTGCGGTCAAATCCCAAACATGAACCTTACCAGTTTCTGCCCAGGTGGCAGCAATGCTCCTTTCTTGTTGTTGGGGCATCACTCTTAAACGGTTGACGCAGCCGTTGTGAGGGAGAGATCTGTATTCGAGGACTGGATCTTCATCTAAAGCATCTGGGTCATCTTCGTCGTCAGAATCTATAGAGGATGTAAATGCCATGCGCTTCTCCCCTCTGATCTAAGTGATGAGTATTACCATCTTGTTGGGTTTTGTGTAATGAGGACATCTTCATGACCAAGACTTCGTTGTTTCTATCGCCGGGAAGAGAAGTACCAGCAGCAACATAGGCAGTAGCAGGATACTAGTCATTGACATTAGACACCACCATACACACATGCAGCTGACACAATAGATTCACTTACATTCTTTCTTTCCTCACCCAGCTTGTCTTCCAAGATATCAAAACTCAAGAAAGGAAGACGCACATCCAGATTGTGGAGCATAACATATACGGATTGATCAGCTTCCAAAACCTCACCCTCGGCCAAAGGTTGACCAGGCAAATACAGCTTTAGATCCTCCTCCTTCTCTTCCTCCTCCTCCTTTTCATCAACATCCATGCCTAATAACAGCGAGTGTAAGAATACAGAGGGCTCTCATAGTGGTGATCCACCATTGCATACCATCTTCTCCTTCGTCCTCCATGTCGTTGTTTTCTACAATCTCTTCTTCCTCCATTTCATCCTCCCAAGCATCCTCAAAATCGCCCATTTCGTTCTTTTCTTCGGGAGCACGTCTGTTGGAGCCATTGCCAAAAGCAGCAGACTTGTTTTGCTCTCTAATATCGGAATGATCAGCTTGACGCTTTGACATTTGATGTGGTTATATTTGCAAAGATGAAGATAAAAAAAAAAAAAATTATCAGAGGTTTTTTTTTTATAAAAAATAGGATTGACAGTCATTGCGAGGTGACTAGTACTTAAGTGCATTGCCTGCTTTCAATTCCATGGTTATGTCGTTATCAGATCTTTCTGACCTTTTGATCAGTCGATCTTTATTATTTACAGTTATATGATATTGATGGGTGTCATGCTCAATCCAATGATATACGTAAACCTTCTGCAGGAATTGGCACAAAGTCATGAATATTGATTCCTCTGGATGTCAATTCATCATAGCAATGTGGTGGTACAAGCTTTTTGATGAATTCAGGTTGAATCGATAATTCTAGAAAATATCCCATTAATCACTCGATCTATACATGTGTTTTTTTTCACTTTTTACCTCCAATTGAAAAGTCAAATAGTGGTGGAAGTGGTTTTCCTGTGGGCATTTTGGTGTCGGGATTGCGCAATTCGTCAAAGAAAGGATGTATAAGTGCCTCACTAGCAGTTGGTCTAGCCAACGGGTTGTATTGTAGTATATTCGACATTAAATCAATCGCTTCTGGTGGTGTTCTTAATCTAAAAATCTATCTCACTCATTAGTATATCAGTGGTGTACAGACATGGCTCCAGAAATGTACCTTTGCAAATGGATGTGGTTTGATGAGTGGAAATTTGTGATCGTCATAGTCCGGATTCATCAGTTCAATCTGTTCTCTTGATGGTGTGCCGAGTACCTTGATAATCTCTACTAACTGATCTATGCCACTTTCGCCTGGAAATAAGGGTTGTCCCAACAATAATTCACCCATGACACAACCAGCAGACCAAATGTCGATCTTGACCGAATACTCAGCAGCACCAAAGATGAGCTCTGGGGCACGATAATAGCGAGAGCAAATGTAAGATACATTGGAGTCACCTGAGTTCAGTATTTTAGCACTTCCAAAATCACACAACTTGAGGACGCCTGTGATGGGTTCTAGCAATAGGTTCTGAGGCTTGATATCTCGATGACAGATACCGATACTATGACAGTAGGCGAGTGCTCTGTATAACTGATACATGTAAATCTTGACCTGCAAAACGGGTATAGGTTGTCTAATTTTGGCATAATGGCGAGCTACTCGATATACTGTTTCTGGCACATATTCCAGTACAAGGTTCAAAAAGATTTCATCTCTCTAAATGACCCTCTCACATGTTAGTGGCCCATAGTAATACCAACACACACACACCATGTGCCTTTACCTTTTCGCCCTGATTGTAGAAATAAGCCCTCAAAGCACAGACATTGGGATGGTGCATCATTCTCATCATTTCCAATTCTCGGTTCTAGTGGACACTATTAAAAAAAAATCGTTCGATATTTCCTCTGCTGACATCTCACACACCTTGAATCGCTTGTCTTGAAGCACTTTTTTGATGGCTGCCAGTTCGCCAGTGTGCATTAGTTTTGCCTGATACACAACTCCAAATGATCCATTGCCAATGACTTTCTCATGAGTGTAATGAAGCTGCATGTCATGTCCGGTTCTTCCATCTTTTGCAGCGACAATGACATGTCGCAGATGATGTGTTGGTAATGGTGAACCTATATTAGAGTGTTGGTGTGCTGCTGCTTACAGCTGCTGCTTGTGTGCTGCTGTGTTGGGCAAAAAAAGTTACCTGGAATTGAAGGTTTCACCCCCAAATGTATTGTCTTTTCTGGTTGTTGTTCCATATGAAGAGGGGGGCAAGCAATGCTATGTAAGCTTTTTGATGTTCATGTCAGTCTTGTGCACTCTGAACACCTCTCATCTCAACCTACTTTACGAACGTTCACTGTATTAATCGTCTCTGTTATTTTTTTTTTGTCCAAACTGTGAAAAACAAGAGAAAAAAGAGTGGGAAAGACAAACAGAAAAACAAAATTTATTAATAACTCTCATTGGTGATGGATTTGTTTGTATTGTCTGTACAACTCCAAAGTGACGCACTCTTCAATAAGCACCTCATTTCAAAGCCCTTTAGCATGTTCTGTGATGGCAAGCAATACCACGTTGATAGGTGTGTTACTATCTGCAAAGATAAGCTCGTTGCAAGGTCTTGATCTGGTTCCATCGAGGACCGTGTGTTCAGTTGATCAGATGCCCTCCAATGTAGCCGTGCTGATAGGCTGTCATCCAGGCATAGAGAGCAATGGTATGCCATCATACCAGATGAGCATCTTTATATACAATGCTGGTAGGCGGCAAGTGCTCAGGTTGGGTGCCAAAAGATGCACAGCAGAGAACTTGACATTGCTCATAGAGAGTGACAGATCAGCAGAATGCTAAGCGGCTATCCTCATCAAACAATCTGGCCAATGTCGCTTCAACAGCCGCACGATAATCTACCGTCGAACAGAGGCATTTTTTGTTGAGCTACAAAGGCTCACCTTCTCCTCTCTTTTCTCCAAAGCCATCCTTTTCTTTTTGGAGAGAAAAAGAGACTTATTAATCCACCATTTTATCCACAGATTATTCACCTCTACCTTCCTCTTCGTCGCTACATAAGCGACAGAGTTCTATTCAAGTCAAACAGCAGCAGCAACAGCAAAGATCGTTTCAGCACTGGATAAAAAAAATGAATCTCACTCTCCAGAACAAAAAGAGGCTCTTGCTTTCCATCACATCTGTGGTTCTGTTTGTATTTCTGATATGGGTCTTGGTGCCTACAGAGACGTATTCATCCATCCCCAGCTACAACAACAACAACAAGAACAACGATATAGGTACTAGCAGTGGCTTCTTTTTGTGTAGAAATAACTTGGAATTAATCTATTCTTAGTAGCACAGGAATTGCTTTCAGATCATTGTTCAATACCACACCCAGGAAAGCCACTGGTGCAGTATGCTGTCATGATTGATGCTGGTTCATCTGGCTCAAGAGTACATGTCTACAAATTCAATCACTGCAAAGAAGAACCTGAGCTGGAAAACGAGGTTTTCCACATGCTGGAGCCTGGTCTCTCCTCATTTGATGATAACGCAGAGGGCGCTGCTGATTCCTTGGAGGAACTATTGCAAATTGCTGTCGACAGCGTCCCTAAAGCCTTGCAACACTGCACACCCATTGCCGTCAAAGCAACCGCCGGTCTTCGTTTACTGGGTGCTGAAAAGAGTGATCGTATACTGCAAGCTGTGCGTACGCGCTTGCAAGACAAGTATCCATTCCCTATTGCTGATATCGAGATTATGGACGGCAGAGACGAAGGCGTCTATGCCTGGATCACTGTCAATTACCTGCTAGGCAACTTCAAGGCATCCGAACGCAGCAAATCAGCAGCCACCTTCGATCTAGGTGGTGCATCTACTCAGATCGTGTTTGAGCCTGAATTCGCATTGGATATGGAGCATATGCTCCCTGGCGATCATGTGTATGAATTGGATTATGCTCATCAGAAATACAATCTTTACCAGCACTCTTACCTGGGCTATGGTTTGAAGGAAGCGCGCAAGCTGATCAAGAGTCAAGTGATCGAGACATGGAAAGAGGAAGCGCTTGCTACGGGCAAAGTATACCATCCCTGTCTACCCAAAGATCACAAGGAGACAATCAAATGGACCAGCGAGAGTGTCACCAAGAATGTTGAGCTGATTGGCACTGGCGCAGGCCATGCTGCTTGTCGTGGTGTGATTGAAAAGGTGTTTGCCAAGGAAAAGGAATGCCCATTAATGCCTTGTGCCTTTGACGGTGTCTATCAACCCCCCTTGACAGAGACATTTGGCAATCGCGATCTTTATGTTTTCTCCTTTTTTTATGACTTGACGCAACCTTTGGGCATGCCATTGCAATTTACAGTGCGTGAATTTGGTGAATTGGCCAACCGTGTCTGCAGTGGAGATCCAGAGGTATTCAGACATGTGCCTGACGCTTTAAGCATCTTGAAGCGCTCTCCTGAGTATTGCCTTGATTTGACATATACCCATGCTCTGTTGCGTATCGGTTATGATGTTCCTCCGGAGCGCTTGGTGCGTACTGCCAAGAAGATCCGTGATGCTGAAACTGGCTGGTGTCTGGGTGCCTCCATTGCCATGATCGACGCGAATCACTTGTGTCAGCGAAACTAGAAACTGCCCTCTTATTTAAACATTCATTTCATTCAAACATGGCATAGTATCATTTATGCTTTCATTTGGCATTTTCCTAATAAATTGCTACCACTTTATTAGTTGAGAGAAAAAAAAAAAAAAAAAAAAAAGCACGCTATTCTTTGTACCCAAGACAAATTAGAATGGGAACATGAATTTTGCTGTAACACGTATTTATATTGGTTAGCCAAGGGAATTTATTCGTATGAAGACTTTATCAAATCTTCTTTAGACAAGGAAACCCAGTTGTATTTGGCAATACCATTGAGAATTTCGATCAAGGGATGACGAGCATCGTCGTGATTGAGCATGGCATCTTTAGATACTAATAAACACTTGATAGCCCAGAAATCACAGCGAATCCCTCTTGCAAATGAAATGTTCTGGTTCATGGAGGTGTTCACCACAATCTGGTCGATCTCTTCAGTACCAACAATGATACAGCGAGGAAGGAGCGTATAGAGCAAGTAGATTCCCTTACAGCATTCAATCGCTTGACTGATAAAATCGTTGTCCATCGTTTCTGTTATATCTTCATAATAACATAACAAATTTATGGTCCCGAGACACTTTCAAAACCTCAAAAACGAAAGAAGTTGATCTTACAAGAATTTGGCGGACTGGCGTTATTAGATGCAAGACTTCAAATAAAGAATAGCATACCTAAACATAGTGCTATGTGGTTCGCTACCTACTTTCCATTGGCTTCAAAAGCATCTATTATTGCCTTTATTTTATACGAGTGTATTTGCGCATTTTATCAAAATACCTGCTACGTTCATTTCAACCCTCTACTTACACATGAAACCCCCTCATGTTATCTGTGGATCTGATTCTTATGTGCTGCTCTACATCCATATACACATAGGTACTTTATATACGGGCAAGCAGTATACTGATGATATGTCTCCTTTTTAGTCCTTAATGTCCCTAATACAGCTAAATCTGAGCGCATTTGGGCTGCGTTTTCTTGCGTTCAAGGCCGCTTTAGATGGCCAGAATAGCACCAAACAATTGCTCTCATCTAGGAGTTACTTCCTGACACCTTTGCTCAACTTTTCTGGGGACCAAAAAAAAAACATGGCCAAAATTCGACTAAAAAGCATGAGGTACCCCTCATAGGGTGGCCAATGTTGTAGGGCATTCGGTTGGTGTTGTTTTTTAACCAGAAAACGCCCAAAAACAACTTTGGCCACCCTATGAGGGGTACCTCATGCTTTTTAGTCGAATTTTGGCCATGTTTTTTTTTTGGTCCCCAGAAAAGTTGAGCAAAGGTGTCAGGAAGTAACTCCTAGATGAGAGCAATTGTTTGGTGCTATTCTGGCCATCTAAAGCGGCCTTGAACGCAAGAAAACGCAGCCCAAATGCGCTCAGATTTAGCTGTATTAGGGACATTAAGGACTAAAAAGGAGACATATCATCAGTATACTGCTTGCCCGTATATAAAGTACCTATGTGTATATGGATGTAGAGCAGCACATAAGAATCAGATCCACAGATAACATGAGGGGGTTTCATGTGTAAGTAGAGGGTTGAAATGAACGTAGCAGGTATTTTGATAAAATGCGCAAGGACAATCAGTAACGCGAGCTGCCGTTGCGCAGGTTGGTTTTCACCGAAACGAAGTGAAGGTAGAAAGCTATCCGAAGCATAAATACACTCATCGTTAATAATAGGAGAATAAGCAGACCCGGGATTAACAATATACAAGACGCAGTGCATGCGTGAATGCATAGATACAGTGGAAGCAACTTGAATAGACATCTTTGTGAGCATTGACGAGATACTGGGTCATGGCGTTCATTACATATTCGTCGGACAGGATAACCTTGCCCAAAAGGTCAGGGCCAGGTTGGTAAACTAAAGGAAACGTAAATCCGTTGTTTTCTAAAAGGCAGTTTGTCTGAGGAGTTGCTCATCCATTGCTATCGCGGTGTATTGAGTCTTGCCTGACATTGCTTTACGAATGTATGTACGTGTTTTAAAGGGACAAAGTAAGAAAGAGAAGCAAGCCATTTAAAATCGATGCTTACATGAAAGCTTGCCTTTTGGTTTTATTGTAGACTCCCACAGTGCTGAACGTATGATATATAAGAATGTTGCGCTGCCAAAGAAACAAGAGTCAACGATGTCCACTGTTGCAGATTATCCAATTCAGGGTATTTTTATGCTTCAATGTAGAAGACTAAACAGATTTAATTCAGAATCAAAAAAGAATAATGAATGTTCATAGATGGATGTAGGGTAAAAAAGATATGATGTTTGTAAATGTAAAGATATGGTTAAATGTACATGATTAAATAGCATTATGTAAAGTCATGGCTATGATTGAATAGCGATGCCAGCAGGGTATTTTCATCCTCTTCCTTTATGTCAGCCATAGCCAGATCTGGAGGAGAGGTTTCCTCGCCTGATTTACAGGAGCATTCCAGGCTATTGTGCATCCCATGGTTCTTTAAAAATTCACATAGACAATCAGTCATGTCATCTGGAAATCCAGCATAGATCACTCTACACGACTCCAGAATACGCATGATTCTATGTATCATAATCTTTGCTCTGTTCTTGAGCTGCAAGTCGTCTTTTATCAATGCATTTCCACAGTAGACCGTCGATGCGTGATACAGGCAGGTAATGATTTGCTGACACACACACCATCCAAAACAACGAGTAATCACTTCCGAAATCTTGACAATGCTATCGGCTGAATTCGAACAAATTGTGCTTGATCTGCGTTCCTGCCCTGAGAGAGAAGGCGATGAACCAGCTGTCGTGGAGCGTCGGATACTGTTAAGAATTGCTTTGTGTAAAATAATCCATTGCGAGTCGTACTGTATTTTGAGAAGCAGTGATGCTTGTGCTTGTAATGTCTTTGCGTCCAGCGAGGTGAAGAGATCTTTTTCCATGTCCTTTTTCAATTTGAGCTGTTCCAGCTGCTCATAATTGTAGTTTTTAGGTTTGAATATCTCTGGCAATCGTTTGTACCATGCTTCCAATAAGGCCTCCTCTGCCAAAAGCTGCTTTACAGTGGCACCTCTCTCGATAAGCTGATTTGTCTTTTTCGTCAGTCGAACCAATTCTACCGTGTGCACAAAATAGGACTCCTTCACTATCGTTTTGCCATTGTCAAAGTCGATTCTGTCATTGGCGTCTTTTGTCTTGTTTAATTCAAATAAAGTATCGTTGAGTGTGATGATTTCATAAAAGTTGATGTCGAATTCGGTGTCGTTGATCAGTGGTGGATCACCAACGTACACAGATAAGGTGGAGTCGTTGTAATACAAGATGAGCAGTAATTTGAGGTACTTTTTCCGTAGAATCAAGTCGTTGTTTGGCAGTTTGAGAATATCGCATTCCATTACCATGTGCAGACAGAGCCCTACAAAGATCTTTGCTTGTGAATACCGCTTACACACAATGCAAAACATGGACAAGTTCAATAGTGCTTCGATCGTCGAACAGTCAGGTGTTTCATCAAAAAACTCCATCAGCTCTTCTCTTGCTCGGTCAAAGTAAAATCCAGCAATTTCTTGTGAATTGACACAAATGTCCTTGTCGTGTCGCATAACGTGCAAAAAGACCATAGCGAGGCCAGAATCGATGCATACTTGGTTTCGTTTAGGGTCGCCTGATCGATCCCAAAAGGAATTCCAATCAGAGGAAAACTTGGGGTGCAGACAATCCCAAAATACTTGTCCCATATAGTTGAGTGCTGCTGGTGATATGTCCTTTGTGAGGCCATTCAGGTTCATCTGGCAGTGCTTGTAATTTTCTAGACAAATCTTGGGTCGTCTTCCCAATGCATACTGCCAATATTCTACATAGGCATCTGGTGTCTGATCTGTGGATGAGCTCGACGGTGAAGAACATAGCAGTTCCAATGCCATGTCGTCGTCTTCAGCAAGTGCGAGTGCTGTCGTCGATGCTGTGCTCGTTGAATTGGAAGGTCCTGCCTCTTCTGACTGTAGCAGTCTAATCTTTTGTACAGCCTGAATCAACTGCTCTACACTGGTAATATTGGTGTCCAGCCTTAGCAGATTGCCTGGTTGGAAAGACAAGATCCACTTCATGGGATCATTGACAGAAGTTGATGGAGGAGGCGATTCATCAGCAATATCGCCAGCTAGTAACGTACGTTTCCATGACAACGGTTGTTGTTGATGCTGCTGTTGGAATTGAAGTAATTGCTGCTCTAGATTTCTCGTATCCAACGTTTTCTGAATTTGCATTTGCGGCTGCTGCTGCTGTTGTTGCTGCTGTTGCTGCGACGTCTGGCTTAAACCGGATGCTGCTGCTTTCTGTTGGTTCTCTTTACGCCGTTTATCAAAATTACCAGATGCCTTTTCAAGCTCTTTTGTCATACGGGTCAGCACTGGCGTTGTCTTTTCAATCCATGATTCGATTTCATAAAAGGTTATCTGGAGCGATTCAATGTCATCATGTGGTGTCGTTGCCTTTTCTTTAGCCTTTGAACTGCTATTTTGGCCTTTTCGTTTTGCTGTTGCTGCATTCGATTTGTTTGCCATGTCATATACAAAACAAGTTTATATAAAATGATAAAAAATGTTGTTTCAGAAATGTGTGGAGAAAGAGCAAGAAGAAGAAAGGAAATTATTCAATTTCGTAATGACGGTTGTTTCATTGGTGCAAATGAAACGCTCAATTGTAAATGAAAACAGCCCTTCTACCCGTCCACGTGAATCAAAATCAACAAGAGGCAGTTGCTGTGTTTATCTCGGACATACTCAAAAGGCTATAAAAGCGGGGAAATCATGTCCCTCTTCCCTGCTCAAGACAATTCAGCCTTCTTCTTTTTCATCCATCTAAGGATACATACACATTGACCACCTAATATTGCAAATCAATCTTCTAGGCGTCATTTGCTAAACGCCTTATCCAAGATGTAGATCTGATGCAAGATTACTTTTTTTTTTTTGACATCCATCACATCCAATGCATTAGCTATGGATCTAATGCAATAGCATGCTGTATTAGACAAATTAATTTTAAACATTAGATACCTTTTAAGAACAAACTACTAAATATATCAGGAGTGTCTGTCAGCTATCGTTTAAGGGCCAGATCTACCTAAAGTGACTCATCATCAACAACTGTAGGTCAGCCCTCTCTACCGTGGTAAAATAGTCGCCACTGTCGCACAGACATTGGAAAGATATGGTGCTCACAGAATATCAAGGCTTTTTTTTTGTTTCAAATCGAACAGTTGCTTAGTCATACCTACATAATCGCATCGTCTTACCATTGACGGCTGCAAATATGCTGCAATCGAGTCGAAATAAGAAGGTGGATTGTCGATACAGAAATTAAGGTTTAGCGATAAGGAATACCCCTTGAACGATCATTGGTGCAAACAAGGTTTTCCAAAGATTAGTGGGAGGATCTCATGTTAGAATGCTAAACTTGTGCCTGAAAACAGCGTGCAGTGATCTTGGCGCCATATCTTCAGTAATCTGATCTTATTCCACTTATACACTCGATACGAATTAGTCACCGAAATGGTCACTGTTTGTTTATATTTTTAAGAAATTCGAAAACCCCAATAAATGTTTGAATGCTTCAAAATCATAGATCTCACTACTTAACCTAATTTAAAATTTTAAATGAGTATACATCAAGATCAGGTCAACCAACAAGCCAAATCTCGTCTTTCAGAATGGCAAATTGATGGTATAGTAAACTGTCACAGAGCAGGTATCAAAGAAAATGTGATCTGCAAGACCATGAACCTGTCCCCGTCTACGGTAAGCACCGTGATCAAGAGGGCAGGCTCTAAAGGCACCGGATTGCTTCGAAAACGTTCTGGAGCACCATTGAAGATGGATAATAGAGATCAGAGACGACTCGCACGTCAGCTTCGCTCTGCACCGTTGTTACCAATGAAGAACCATTTGAAGTTATGGTGTGACGCCGACCCATCAATTTCAATGGATACGTTCAGGAAGTATATGAAGCTAATTGGATCTCAATCATATAAGACTGTACACAAGCCAGCATTGACACCTGAGCACAAGCTGAAAAGACTCTCCTGGTGCTTGGACAAAGTCGGATGGGGCCAGAACAGTGGAGAAAGATTGTTTGGTCCGATGAGTCCAAATTCATGGTTCTCGGTAATGATGGTGGCTCTAGGGTGATCCGAAAAGAAGGTGAAAGGTACAATGATCACCACATCATCAAAACCAAGAAGTTTGGAAGCGGCTCTGTGATGCTTTGGGGATGCTTTTGGGCTGGAGGCTACGGCCCGTTAGTATCACCTGATGGCTGAGTAAATCAGGACAGATACATCGAGTGTTTGAACAAGAGCTACTTGCCATGGATAGCTGATGTAATGAAGAATGAAGAAGGCAACTTCGTTCTTCAAGAAGATGGTGCTTTCTGTCATACAGGTAGAATTTCTACAAGTTGGAAGGAGGATCAACCACTGGTCAACAGTTTTAGCTTCTGGCCGGCTCAAAGCCCCGATTTGAATCCAATCGAACATCTGTAGGCCATCACGGAGAAGCGAATTGAGAGCAAGAGGCATCGCATTGATAATGCAGAACAATTGCTTGCGTGTATCCATGATGAGTGGAATAACTTGGATCTTGATCTGGCGGAGAGATTAGTTGCAAGTATGTCATCTAGATGTCAAGCTGTAATAAATGCAAGAGGCTGAATAACACGCTACTAAAAGTATTGAATATAAATATAATACTATTGTAAATATCATATATCCAAATTTCATGTACTTCTTACGATATTTTATTAATGATGATTTGATGTCAAAGATCAATGAATTATTTGATGCCAAAAAAAATTGAGCTCAGTTACGGTGACTAATTCGTATCAAGTGTATATCCGTAACCTAAAATGAGACAATCTGCAGAGCTTGTTAACTTCTGTTGTTTATCCTGATTATCAGAGCATTTGCTATTTCAGTGGCGATAGCTTGAATTTCAATTGCCTTTACCTGGTCATTCAATGCGATATCTAATGCGATGGAAAGTTATGATCGCATTCATTGTGCTCGCTTTAACCTTAAACGAGATGTTTGAACATTTAAGATTTGTGTAAAAGACAATATACTGCAATTATAAAAGAGAAGACATTACAATTAGATTACCATATATCAGCAAACCTAAAGGGATCCTGTAAAAAGCACTCCTTTTCAAACAGCATCCTAGCGACAAAGTACAAAATTCAGTCAGGCTAAAAACTATATTAACACGGGAGAATGGTAAACAAAGTATAAAGATGAATACAGCAACGCAATGATTCAACATGAGCGGTGAGTGTCTTTAGTTTTCAAGCAAAGTGCGTATAGAAAGAGAATGGGATGCCAAGGCTTAAAGGTGTCGCTTTGTCAAGAAAAATGTGTGCTCTGTGCATTTTTCCTATACCATGAGGCGGTCTTCAGTGCAACAAATTCAGTAAATACGAACTCGAAAAGACCAGTAATCGTGTAATGAGTTGCCTATATTACATTATTCAAATATTTCGTATATAAAAACTAGCCGATCTATCTCGCTACGCTCGATGTCGGCGTCACCCTGTGGGCTCTCGCCGAAGACATTTGAGATCAGATATTATAACATTTTGGTATATCAAGTAGATTTTAAACAACCAATTATTAGTTAGTAAAAGAAAGGTTATATCAGAGTCAGGAAAAAAAAAAAGGTATCTCCCTCAGCATCCTTTTTGTTTACACTGACATCAAACAAAGCCTATTCTTGGGGCAATGAGAAAGGAAATACAGATTCTATACAGCATTTTATACATTACAACCGCCATTTTCTGATAATAGAACTGTCATATCATTCACTGCTGCTGATGCGCTTAATTAGATGGCGACATATAGCTGGTCATAAGTGAATACTGGACTTGTGTAAGATCTACAACGGCTTTTTTGAGATATTACCATTGCAAAAGACCCCTTCATGAGGAAAAACTCCCCAAAAAATTATTTGCCCTAAGCAATTGTCTTTTCGATTCCATGATCCCCATTTAATCAGCATCGCAATCATCATTGTCATCAACAGAAATGCATTTAAGTCAGCCAGCAGCAAGCCGCCGCCAAAATCAGTTCAAACTCAGTATTTTTTTTCTGTTCAAGATTGGACAGATATTATCTTTTTTCGACTTCTTTAATCTATTTTATGACGTTCGACTATATAAGTTGTGATAATCATCCGATGCTTCCTAATATACTCTTGAAGTAATTTTCAAGGCGCTTCCAATGGTGCTAACTGTAATAAGTGTTTTGACTGAAGTTATTGAGCAATTTGGTAAAATATGAAATGAGGTTTTTAGCGAAAATGTCGAAATTTTGCATATGAAAGTCTCATAAAAGTGGTTTCAGAAGTTGCTTTGGATTGAGAGAACCATTTTGATTTGATATATACCATAGCAATAGTCTTCATTATCAAGGTGAAAAATGCGATCGTTTGATTTTCGATGAAAACCATGAGGGGTACCTCATGCTTTTTGGTTGAATTTTGGCCATGTTTTTTTTGGTCCCCAGAAAGTTGAGCAAAGGTGTCAGGAAGTAACTACTGGTTGACAGTGAGCATTTGGTGCTATTCAGGCGTTTCAAAGCGGCTTCTAGCTCAAGAAATTACGACCCAAATGCATCCAGATTTTGCTGCATTTCGCAAACTTTTGAGCAATTGAAGGCGATACTGTTGTGTTATCTACTCGTGCATGAGTTGTTTCCATTTAAACTGACTTGGAACACTCGAGAAAAGCTAGATCAGTAGTTACAGATAGGTTAGAAAGGGCTCTCACGTTATTATGGAATATTAAAAAGTTAGGTTTAGTGTGCATGAGTGGAATTCGCTGGCAATACTGACAATTAGACTCTTTTTTTAATACGTAGTATGACCATTCAATCCTGGTGAATATCAATCAGCAGGAATCGTACGATATTTTGATACACTGAAGTCATGAATGAAAGGGATGTAACTTGTTTTAATTAGCTTGCTGAGTCCTGGTAGGCGCTATTGTTTAAATACATTATCGGATACTGCAATGGTTAGATTAAAATGCCATTGTTTGCGGTAGCCCAAATGACTTACAAAACCAGAACCTCGGTACCTACTTTCTATTTCTGTAAATCTGCTAGACGGTGATATTGTCGACCATTATCACTAACGAAAGTTTGCTGAAGGCCAAGGTTTATCACTTGCAGATAATACTAGGTCTTTGGTAACATATAAGAAATATAAAGGAACATGATTGTAAGGAATTTGATCATTAATGTTTGGAGTATGGACTTTCGCTTATAGCATCAATTGTTTTTCGTAAATAGAGGCGTTGAACAATAACAAACACCGAATTGAATTACGTCTTGCCAAGCTTAAACATGATATGATTGATTCTATGAGCTTCTTTATAACTAAAAAAATGATGCGAATCTCGATACCCAACGGGAATGATAGGTTTTTCTTGACTCAAATCGTGATGTTTCTAGCCTGTACAGCGTCATCTGAGCGCCGTTCCCCAATACAGCGAAAATCGCACGCCTTGCAAGCATGGCAATCTTTGGTATACTAATGCATATTAATAATGCATGTATTCATTTGAAACGATGTATGTCATTTCTACATAATAACAAATGTGCATCTTTGGTAAGGTTTCCAGTATTTCATGTCAAACCATATGACTTGTGTGGGCCAATTTAAGCTTGCATTGATGAGGAGAATCATGCAGGCTTTAGTAGAATGAAATGGAAAGGTGCGTTTCTTTATGGTTTAGATGTAACGTACAAGGCGTTTGCTTTTTTAGCCAAAGAGCTTAAAATAACGTTTTGACATTTTGTTTGTCTTCAAAAAGTGAGCTGATTCTGTAGACATCTTAGCACGAAATGATGGCTACACGTCGTTCCAGACACTCTGATCTGGTATGGTTAGCAATGAGTCGTCATTATTTTCTCATATCAAACATAAAGTAAAGACACATGTACAGCTAATTTACAATAATATATTGCAGTTTGTACTGCATGATACACAAACAGTTTTAGAGTTCAAGTTCACACGGTTTATAGGGCTTATTGTTCAATTGAAATTCTGAAATTCTAGTATTTGGAGGTACAATTTGCAGTTGTAATTCTTTCTCTTGGGTGTGATTCGGGTGATATTTCGAGTGTTACGTTTAACAAGGATGAAGCCATTTCGTGTGCTACAGAAGGTAAGGACCTGGATGGTCAATCCTTTCTTGTGGACGACCCTTCATTTTGTACTACATTCAGAACAAGGCGCCATTTTGAGGGAGAAATTATACAGGAATTTATTGTCATATTAAAGTGAAACGAATTATAAAGTTACAAATAATTAGGTAGTGCGTATATATACATGATATTGAATATTTATAGTAATGTTAATTTGACAGAACCTCGAATCGTTGCCTTCAATTTGATGTCTACATCCAAGTTAAGATCTAGTCTCAATTTCAAGGCAGAATTACCACCAGCATTGGGATTTGAGGCGAGCTCTGGCTTTTTCATTTTAGAGGCTGCTTTTTTCAGTGCCTCTGCCTGTTGTATCGCCTTATCCTCCTGCGTTTCTGGAGCTGCCTCGGCCTTTTTCTTTCGAGTTTCCTTCTTTTTGCCCATATCGTCTTTTGAGGATTCCACTTTTTTAACCTTCTTCTTCTTCTTTTTGTCCTTGGCTGACGAGTCCAAGCTACTGCTCTCTTCTGTCGGCTTCTTCTTCTTTTTCTTCTTCTCTTTTGGGTCTAGGGTATTACTTGTTGCTGATTTAGTAGATTTAGATTTATCCTCGGTTACAGATTTCTTTTTCGTGGATGATGTAGCATTGGAGCTAGTTTTTATGGGAGATGATTTTAAAGGATTGGCAGGCTTTGATGGTGTCGTTTTTGTTGATTGCATGGCCAACAATTAGTGTAAAGTACAAAGGAAAGGATGATTCTTTCTCGGTGCAATTGGAATTCAAATGTTTAGAAAAAAATGGTGACACTTCTATCGTCATGTCAACCTAAAAAAGGGGATCTCATGGACCTTAAGTAGGTAATTGTATTCATGCGGCGATCATATGGTTGATTTGATAGGGTAGATTCATCTCAGGGGAAAAATTGGGAAATGGATGATGGCATTTTTTCATGTTCCAAAGACCACTAAAATTAGTGTAGATCATTTCTTTATCCCATCATCATAACACCATTACGTCTGTATACTGTCAGTATTTTTTTTTCGGATCCGAGAAATAATTATAATAGTTTTTCAAAAAAAGAAAAAGCTTCTTCTTTTTTCTTCTCAATCAACCAATTCTAGTTTTACAACATGGCTCCAACACCTACTCCTACCAAAGACGCTCCCCAGAAGGCAAAGACTGATGATAAACCAAAGGATGGTGCCGCAAAGAAGGGTACTCCTGAAGAAAACAAGGCGCAGGATGGTAAGAAAGACACAAAGACTCCACAAAAGAAGGCTCCTGCCAAGGTAGAGGAGGATTCCAGTGATGAAGATGATTCTGATGATGACTCTGCTGGTGACTCTGATGACTCTGATGATGACTCGAGTGATGAAGAAACTGATTCCGACCAAGAAACTGACTCTGATGAAGAAACTGACTCTGAAGAAGAAACCGATTCTGAAGAAGAGGATTCCTCTGACGAAGAGGAATTGACACCAAAGCAACTGGCTAAACTCAAAAAGCAAAATGGTCTAGTAAAGGGTGTCTCTGATACTGCTGGACAAGTAGGCGGAGCAGTTGGTGGTGCAGTCAGTGGTGGTGGAGGTGGAAGCAGTGGCAGTGATCATCCTCTTAGTCTTCGTCTTGATCTTAATTTGGAGGTCGAGATTGAACTCAAGGCCAGAGTACATGGTGATGTTACATTGGCCCTTTTACGTTAATTTACTTCCTCTCAATTATTTTTTTTGTAAACTACATATATTATCTACATCAGCAACTATCTATATTATACTCTTGTTGAAATAAATCTGAAATCTTTAATTTGATCCAATTGTCATGCTATGATGCCATCAAGGGGAAATTTTTGTGGATCTAGTGATTCATTTGATATGTCTTTAATTTATAGAGTATTCACAAAATTGAAACAAAGCGAATGAATTGTGAATTATTACAAGAAAAATTTATTTATTTAAACGTATCGAATATATATATATATAGTAAAAAAGGAGGAACAGTATAATATTTAAGCCAAAAGAGCCAAGGTAACATCACCTGCAGAGAAATGTCAATAAGATCATGTCAATTAACGGAGAAACCCACTTACCATGTACTCTTGCTTTGAGTGTGATTTCAACTTCCAAATTGAGGTCAAGACGCAAACTCAGGGGCTGTTGTCCATCCTTGCCACCTCCACCACCTCCTCCTTGTTGTTGTTGTTGACCGCCTCCGATAACGCCATCACCCAAACCATTTAGTGTCTCTAAAGGATCATTCTTGATCAAGCCAAGACCCTTGGATTTAGACGACTTCTTCTTCTTAGGCTTCTTTGTCTTTTCCTTCTTTTGCGATGACTTCTTTGACTTGGCAGGAGCTTCGTCCTCGGATTCAGTGACCTCTCTGATCTTTCCCTGCTGTTTTTCCATTTCTTTAGTGGGTGCCATTTTTGTTGTTTTGGTAATTTAGCTGAAAAAAGAGGAGAAAATGGCAATTATTTAGAATGAAGAGAGTTTATAAGATCTATCCGTAACCAACATGACAACAGAATGACCGCATTAGCATCATTTTGTTTGATAATTGGGATTGGATCAACAATTTAATGGAATGATGATCCATCATTTAACCTTGTTTTCTTTTTTTAGCTTTGTTTCCATAGTTACATAACAACTACATCACCATTTGAATTGGGGAATCCGAGTTCTAGTTACTGCAATCCCGCGCTATATATTGTGAATTTTCTTTTTGTTCCATTTTCTCTTTTCCTCTTCATTTCTACTAAATTATACTTTAAATCTACCAAATGTCAGACCAGGAGCAAGAGCAACAACATCAACAACAACCACAAGAAGAGCAACAAGAGAACCAAGTCGCTACCAGAGAGAAGAAGCATAAAAAGTCATCCTCATCAAAAAAGAAGAAGGCTCGTCAAGAAGAGATGTTGCAGCAAAGGCAAGCATTGCTAGCACAACAGCAGCAGAATCAGCAAGCCGCTCAAAACAGTGGAAAGAACAGTAGCATGCCCAAGGTGCGTCTTGATCTCAATCTGGATGCAGAGCTGTACCTGAAGGCCAAGGCCAAGGGCGATGTCACTCTGACACTTTTATCTTAATTCATGTACAATTTCTTAATTATAATATATATACATATACAAATATAAATAAATGTAAATCTATTCACACATATATACTACAAAATATTAAAAAAAAAGAGAATTCTTGTGTGTGCTTCTAATGATTTCCAAACTTTTCTGGAGTACATCGCAATTCGTGAGCATGTAACATATGAGACGTGCAAGTTACACATGACAGTACCAGGGAAATTCGAGAATTACACAGATCTAGATCAGTATAATTTCCACTGTGATTTCCAATGTGAATTTATGGCCTCATTGTGTACAATTCGGAATTTGGGTCACGAGTAGCTAATGTGAATTCATATTTTATTTATAGATGATGAGATACATATACATTATTATTTTATAAATGATAGGAAATGGGGGTTAGGAACGGCAGGGAAGTAGGTACGATTAGATTTAAAAATTTAGTTGCGAGGGATATGAATACAGAAGGTAATGCCTGTCTTGGTAGCCTCTACCTTGACAACAATGTCATCCTTGTCGCCATTGCCGATGCTGAGCTTGCCAGAATTTTCTTCACCATCATGTACAGTGGACTCTTCATCCTTGTCCTTTTTTTCTTGCTTCTGATGCTCTTCAGAGTCTTGGTTGTCTTGATCATCGTCCTCCAATGGAGTAGTATCAAAGTTGCCGTAACCCTTCATCATGTCACCAATAGGAAGCTCAAAAGAGTGATGGGTGCCCTTGCTGTCAGACTTTTTATCGTACTTGGTCTTGATGTCGTTGTATGTGCCTTGCACAGTGTCTTTGACAGATTGCTTGCTGACTTCCTCGCCTTGTTCCTTGGCCTCGCTCTCCAATGAAGAGAGTCGTTGCATCAACATGCGGTTGTATTCCGAGATGGCGTTCATCAATGTCATAGCGTCCGTATTGCCCGCAAAAGGACCCTCATCTTCGTCGCTGTCGTCGTCTATTTCAGCTTGGGCTTCTTGTGCAATATCCTTTACACCATCAGAAACGTCTTGAGCAGCATTGTTTATTTCTTCAGTGATTTCATCTGTTACATCATTAAGTTGCTCTTCAGGCTCTTCTTGGTCGATGACAGGAGTCTTGGTCTTTTTGGATTTTTTCGATTTGGTAGGTACGACAGGTTCACCTAAATCTTGAAGGTTCTGTTGAGCAAGTGCCTTTTTGGCCTTCTTGCTGGAGGAGGAGGAAGAGCTATTACCAGATTTTTTGCTCTTTTTTTCAGTGATGGAAGGCATAATTGTGATTTTAATTAGAAACTAGGAGAAAAAAGGGAATACTTCCCTTTGCCCTATTTATCCCAAAAAAATGGGTTTTTTGATTTTGGGATTTACGTTGATATATCGTCATGTCAACTTAGTGTTGTTTCTTTTTTAGATTTTGAAAGAGACAATAAACAACAGTAAATTGAAACCTTAAAATGGGATGATTCGGGTAAGAAAAAATTTCTTTTTTGAGCGATGATTTACGCATGAGATCATGGATTTTCGATGAGCGTTTCGCTGTATAAAAGACCCTTCTTTCAGGATTTGGCCCATTTTCTTCTTCTTATTTTCTGAAAAAAAAAAGAATAGCCATATATAACCAAAGATTCTCGAACTATTTTTTATTGTACCATATTTAACAAGTAGAGCAATGAAGAACCAACAAGCAAAGCAACAAGAGGCAGCTGCCGCAAAGGCTCGTGCCGCCGCTAATAGTGGCGATGAAGCAGTTGAAGGTCAGCAACAACAACAACAACAACAACAACAACAACAACAACAGCAACAGCAAGCACCTGCTGCTCAAGGTCAAAACGCTCAAAGTGATGACGAAGACTCACAAGACCAACAAGATCAAGGTGATGATCAATCGGATGACAACCAAGAACAAGAACAACAAGCATCTGAGGAGGAAGATGACGACGAAGAAGAATCCGAGGAAGAGGAAGAGTCTGATAGCGATGATGAACTTGAAGAACTGTATCGTCTCATGGTTGGAAAGAAGATCAACAAAGCTGGCCTCGTCGTTGACAAAAAGTCGGGTGCTGTTCTTGGTAAAATTGCTGAAGGCAAACTCAAAAGAATGACTGGCAAGAAGGTCCGTGACAATGGTGAAGTCTACAACGACAAAGGCAAACTCATTGGCCGTGTAGAGCCTGTTCAAGAAGACAGCGATGATGACGAAGATGACTCTGATGACTCTGAAGCTGATGATAATGCTGAAGAAGGTAAGAATTGATCTGCGCTTCTGCTGTCAACCTAATTTGGTAATTTTAACTAATTCAATCTCCATTTGTTTAGATGTGCCTGCGGCTGATGCCATCAAGGATGATGATGCCCCTGAAAATGATGCCGAATCAGCTGCCGAAAACACCGCCAATGACGCTCAAGATAAGGCTGACGACGTTACTGATGAAGCCAACGATGCTGTTGATGGCTTTAAGAAGGACGCTGAAGATGTCACTGATGAAGCTCAAGACAAGGCTGATGAAGCTCAAGACAAGACCGACGACGTCGAGCAAACCGCTGAAGATGCAAGCAGTGATGCTGAAGACAAGGCAGAAGAAGCTAAGGAATCTACCAGTGACATTGCCAGTGACGCTGAAGACAATGCAGATGATGCAAAGAAGGCAACTGAAGAAGCCACTGATGATGTCGCTGATGATGTCGCTGATGATGCCAAAGATACCAAGGAGGACGCTGAGGATGCTGTAAGCGATGCCGAAGATACCGTCAAGGACACTAAGGACAGAGATATCAAGCAAGATGCAGAAGATGCAGTTGAAGATCTCGAAATCGGTGACAAGGACGATAAAGCTTCTGACGCTGAAGACGAAGAAAAGAAGCCTTCCAATCCTTATGATTTGGTTGACGAAGACTCTCCCGAGGTCCGTAAATCTGGCAAGGTCGTTGACATGGAAGACAATGTCGTTGGCACTGTTGACAAGGACATGGCTCCTAAATTAGTTGGTTTTAAGGTCGATAAGGACGGTAACGTTGTCAACCACGAGGGTCATATCGTTGCCAAGGCAGAACTCTACAAGACTGAGGAGGAAGAACCTGAGCAAGAAGAAGAAGAGGACCAAGACAAGCCATTCAACCCTAATGAAAATGTCAACGAAGATTCTCCTGAAGTCCGTAAATCGGGCAAGATTGTCGACATGGAAGATAATGTCGTTGGTACTATTGACAAGGAGCAAGCTCCCAAGTTTGCTGGCTTCAAGGTTGACAAGGATGGCAATGTGATCAACCACGAAGGCCATATTGTAGCCAAGGCTAATCTCTACGAGACTGAAGAAGAAGAGAAGCCCTTCAACCCCAATGAAATGGTAAATGCTGATTCTCCTGAAGTTCGAAAGTCTGGAAAGGTCTTCGACATGGATGACAATCTCGTTGGTTACGTCGATAAGCGTGTTGCTGCTAAGCTTGCTGGTATGAAAGTCGATGAAACTGGCAATGTTATCAACGATGAAGGCCATATTGTTGGTAAGGCTGATATGATTAAGCCTGAACCCGAGGAGGAAGAACCTGAGGAAGATGAAAAGAAGCCCTTCAACCCTAACGAAGCTGTGGATGAAGACTCTCCTGAGGTCCGCAAATCTGGCAAGATTGTCGATATGGAAGATAACATTGTGGGCCACATTGACAAGAAGCTCGCACCCAAGTTGGCTGGTTTCAAGGTAGACTCTGATGGTAATGTGATCAACAATGAAGGTCATATTGTCGCAAGAGCTGAAATGATTCCTGCCGAGAAGGAAGAAGAGAAGCGTTTCAACCCCAATGAAGCTGTTGACGAAGACTCCCCTGAAGTCAAGAAGTCTGGCAAGATCCTCGACATGGATGACAACCTGGTTGGCCATATTGAGAAGAAGCTCGCCGCTAAGCTGGTCGGTTTCAAAGTGGATCCCAAAGGCAATGTCATTAACAACGAGGGCCATATCGTTGCTACTGCTGAAATGATTAAGGAGCCCGAGCAAGAGGAAGAGAAGAAGCCTTTCAATCCCAATGAAAACGTCAATGAGGATTCACCTGAGGTTAAGAAGTCTGGCAAGATTATGGATATGGATGATGAAGTCGTTGGCCACATTGACAAGAAGCTTGCTGCTAAGCTCGCTGGTTTCAAAGTTGATCCCCAAGGCAATGTGATTGATAACGATGGCCATATTGTTGCTACTGCCGAAATGATCCAGAAGCCTGAAGAAGAGAAGAAGCCTTTCAACCCTAACGATGCTGTTGATGAGAACTCCCCTGAGGTGAAGCGCTCTGGCAAGGTGGTCGACATGGATGACAATATTGTGGGTTCCGTTGATAAGCGTCTTGCTCCCAAGCTGGCTGGTTTCAAGGTCGATGACGACGGCAATGTTATTGATAACGAAGGTCATATCGTTGCCAAGGCAGAAATGATCCCTGACAAAGAAGAAGAAGATCCCAACAAGCCCTTCAACCCTAATACCATGGTCGATGAGCACTCTCCTCGTGTAAGAAAGTCTGGCAAGGTCGTTGATGAAGATGACAACATTGTCGGTGAAGTGGATAAGAGCTCTGCTCACAAGTTGGCTGGTTTCCCTGTCGATGACGACGGTAATATTATCGATAACGAAGGTCATATTGTTGGCAAAGCAAAGATGCATGGCAAGAAGTCCGAAGAGCAGCTCAAGGAGGAAGCCGAAGAAGAGGAGTACCGCAAGATTGCTGACCAAATGTCTCAATCCATTCAAACCTCCTTGGACAAGATCAAGCCCATCCTCAAGAACATTACTGATACCATTGATGATGAAGAAGCCAAGCCTCAAAAGGAACGCGATGAACAAAAGTTGGTTGATACTGTCAAGCCTCTCATTGAGCAAGGCTCTGCTATTCTTGAGGAATGCAACGGTGCTATTCGTGGTCTTGATCCCTCTGGTAGAATCGCCAAGCAAGCTCAAGCAAAGACCTCTGCTAGAAAGGCCACTCCGGAAGAGTACCATTTGGCTGATCTGTTGGCCCAACTTTCTGGTGAAGTCAGCACTACTATCGATAGGGCCAAGAAGAAGGTTAGAAACATGCCTCATGCCAAGAAGGAATTGAGCCCCCTCTGGAACATCTTGCAAAGTCCTTTGCTTCAAATCCTCTCTGCTGTTGGTCTCTTGTTGACTGGTGTCCTCGGCCTCGTTGGTAACATCTTGAACGGCTTGGGTCTTGGCTCCATTGTCAACAGCTTGTTGGGCGGTATTGGCCTGAACAAGATTCTCGAAGGTTTCGGCCTCGGTGATGCCTTGAAGTTGGGCAGAAAGAAGTAAAAAAATGCCTTTCTTTCTCCATGTAAATACATATTATATTTTAAATACTATTCTTTATTCCCTTGAAAATATGTTAAATAAAGTTGATTGAAAATCATGTTCTCGCTTGTTCCATTCATTATTTGTAATCCTCCATAGCAAGAACTTTATACATTTGCATCAACCTCCAATTGGTCGCTTGCATGATAGTCGAACTACTTTCAAAAGGACTGCTTTGCATTTAGTATAAATATCATAGAAAAAAGGTTTGTCAATCCAAGCTTTTTTTTTTTCTTCATTGTATCAATGCTTCGATCAAAGTCATTCGTTAAGCGTACTCGCAAGGGAAACGTCGTTAAAGTCGTTAAAGAGCACTATTTGAGAGACGATATTCCATGTTCATCAGAGGTCTGCAATGTCTGTAGCAAGACATCTGCTCCAGTACTTTCAAGCACACCCAAAGGCACCAGTACATTCAAGCCTCACTACCTCATTCCTGATACCAATGTCTTCATCAGTCAGGTAAATGCTTGTTTATTTCAAAATTAGACAGCAGCTAACTGTGTGCATCATGTAGCTGGACATCATGGAGCACCCTGCCATCAAGGATGTCATTGTACTGCAAACTGTCAGAGAGGAGATCCGTCATTTGAGCACACCCGTATACAACAGGCTGAACACCATCTTGGCTGACAAGACCAAGCGATTCTACATGTTTGCTAATGAACATCAGCGGTTAGTAGTGGATCAATGTCAATCATCAATTCATGAATTCTAATGACATATGTGTACAGTGATACATTTATTGAGAAATTAAAGGGAGAGACACCCAACGACAGAAATGATCGAGGTACAGTAGGAAAAACATTATAGATTTGCATCGATACTAATGATTAGTCAACAGCCATTCGAGTTGCCACCAAATGGTTTGTGGATCACTTGAAGGCCAATTCATCTGGCGAGAACATTGATGTAATTATGTTGAGTGATGACCGTGGAAACAGAGAAAAGGCCAAGGCAACAGGCATCAAATCTTGTGGAGGTATGGATTGATAGGAAGGCTGTTATGATGGTTGATCTAATTTGGGACTTATTAGTGATTGAGTATGTGGAGAGCATCAAAGACACTCCTGAATTATTAGACATGGTTTCCGCACCCAAAGCAGCAGCAAGCGAACAGGTGGTCTATGAAGAGGTATGGTATACGGATATTGCAGCGATAAGAGGAATCATGCTGATGTGTACATGTTGCAGCATTTGTCGCCTGCTCAGATCCAAAACGGCATCAAAAAGGGAACTCTGATTCAAGCACCTTTCAATGTCAGTGTACACAACGTCCAAGAAGCTACTGTGGTGGGTGAAGTGGAAGGAGAGGTCAAGACCATCTTTATTTTAGGCAGAAAGCACTTTAATCGTTGTATTCAAGGCGATATTGTTGCTGTGGAGCTTTTACCCAAGAGTGAGTGGAAACGTGGAGCATCGATTGCTATTGAAGAGGAGGACGATGATGAGGAAAAGATGTTTGGAGAGGAGGAAGTCATTGATAGAATGACTGAAAGCGATAGTCCTGTTGAACCTACTGGCAAAGTCGTCGGTATTATTCGTAAAAAGTGGAGACCTTATTGTGGTTTTATTGTCAAAAAGACTGTGCCAAAGAACACCACTAGTGGGCCTGTTGGTGTCATGTTTCGTGCTATGGATAAGCGTATTCCTCCCATCAAGATCAGAACTTCCCAAGCACAGTCTTTGGTTGGCAATCGTATTGTTGTATCGATTGATAGTTGGCCCACCAATTCCAGGTAATATCAATTGTTTGTGCAGAATGACAAAAGCTAACTACTGATTTATAGCTTCCCTATGGGCCATTTCGTCAAGACTTTAGGTTCTTCTGGTGACAGAGAAACAGAGACAGAAGTATTGTTGCTGGAGCACGATGTTCCTTATCAAGAATTCTCTCAGCGCGTTCTGCAAGATTTACCAGTCGAGGGAGATCAATGGGTTGTTCAGGACAAGCATTTAACTCAAGAAAAGAGAAGAGATTTCAGAGATTTGGATATTTGTAGTATTGATCCCCCTGGATGTACTGATATCGATGATGCCCTTCATGCTCGTATTCTTCCCAACGGTAATTGGGAAGTGGGTGTTCGTAAGTTGGTTGCTATGGAGATTTGTGAATTAGGTATTGACTTTGGTTAAATTTAGATATTGCTGATGTTACTTACTTTGTGAAACATGGTATGCCAATGGATGTTGAAGCGGCTTCTCGTGGTACATCTGTCTATTTAGTCGATAAACGTCTGGACATGTTGCCATCTCTCTTGGGTACCAGTAAGTATTACTTTTACTAAACACGACTAGCTCAATTATCTCACCATTCTGATAGACTTGTGTTCATTGAGATCCAATGTGGAGCGTTTGGCCTTTTCTTGTGTCTGGGAAATGAACGAAGATGCCGAGATTGTCAGTGTCGACTTTACAAAGAGTGTCATCCGTTCCAAACACTCCTTTACTTACGACGAAGCACAAACTCGCATCGACGATGAACGCATGCAAGATCCCATCACCAAGGGTATCCGCGTATTGAACAAATTTGCAAAGATTCTTCGCCAAAAGCGTATGGAAAATGGTGCCTTGACATTATCCTCCCCTGAAGTTCGATTCAATTTGGAAAACGATTCACAAGATCCTGTCGATGTTGAGATGAAGGAACTGAAAGAGACCAACGCACTTGTTGAGGAATTCATGTTGCTGGCAAACATCTCGGTAGCCAAGAAAATCTATTCTAAATTCCCCAGTTCTGCTATGTTGCGTAAACACGCTGCTCCTCCTAGCAACAACTTTGATTCACTGCGTCAAATTCTCATGGAAAAGGGCTTTGTCTTGGAAACAGGGAGCTCAAAAGAATTGGCCGACTCGTTGGATAAGGCTGTGGTAAGTTGCAACCATCATATTATAGTTTGGTGGGCGATTAATGCTTTTTGTAGATTCCCGAGGACCCTTATTTCAATAAACTAGTGCGTATCATGACAACTCGTTGCATGATGCAGGCCCAGTACTTTTGCTCAGGCACTGAAATCGAGTCAGAATTCAAGCATTATGGTTTAGCCAGTCCAATCTATACACATTTCACATCACCCATCCGTCGTTATGCAGGTACGTTTATGTTGATTTGTTATGCTTGCATACACATACTGATAGTTCGTTTATAGATGTCATTGTCCATCGTCTACTGCAAGCTTGCATTGAACCCGATCTCGAATATGGTCAAGAGCTCACAGATACACAAAAGATGAAGGACCTTTGCGACAACCTCAACTTCCGTAACAGAATGGCACAACAAGCCAGTCGTAGTTCTGTTGAACTGTTTACCAGTCTCTACTTTAGAAACAAGATTGAAGTGGAAGATGGTCGTATTCTTCGTGTTTTGAAGAACGGTATCATTGTGTTGGTACCTAAATATGGTATTGAAACCATTGTATATACATCAGCAACTGTAGATGGACCATCGCCGTTCACCTATGATGAAGAAGCAAAATCCCTTGTTGCAGGCGAAGTGGTGCTCAAGACATTTGACTCTGTCAAGGTGGAAATTACAGTAGAAGGTGATGCAGAGGGTATGCGTCAAAAGATGAACATGAAGCTGGTAGAGCCTTATGTTGAGGGTGTGAGTGTTATACCCACTACCACAGCTACCAATAGCGCAACAAAGAGATCGAATGAGGATGCCGTGGAAACAAAAGCTAAAAAATCCAAAAAATAAGCGCTTAAATGGGTTTCTTTTTATTCAAAATTTAGAACAGAAATAAAAAAAAAAGAGGCATATAGTTTGAGATGCAGAGAAGGAATGTTGAAATGTGTATGTATATATGATGATTTATGAGGGGTGTTATGTTGAAAAGAAGGGGGGAAAACAATAAGAAGGGGTGAGGTTTAATCTATGGCTGTTGCTAGATAATGTGAGAGAGATAAGGGCATAGTGGAAAAGCATAGGATATGTATATGTATGTAGGGCATATTTGTATAATTTAGTCGACTGTTGGTTTAAATGAATTGAGGCATAGTATAGTCTGGAATATAAGTTGTTGTTGCTGATAGTGGCGATTGATTGTAGTATTGATTTGTTGGAAGCACAACTGGATCATTCATGTATAGGCTATCTAGCGAAATGGGTGAACCAGCTACTGTAGAAGCAGAACACGATGCTGTCAGTGGTGGTGTATGTTGCGAGTAGGCCAAAAAATCAAAACTACTGGAATCATAAGAAAAATTTCTTTTATACTGTTGCTGTGGAGCCTGTGGTGGCATGGGTGACATGATATTGCATAGCATGTTGGGAGACCATACCGGCGATAGATAGCTTGCTTGTGGTTGATTTAATGCCATGTTGATTTGCTGATGCTGATGTTGACGAGGTGCAGGTGGCATTATAGGACATGACCTGCGTCTCATTTCAGACTGTTGTTGCTGTTGACCTGAGGATGAAGCAGCGGCCACAGCAGCAGCCGTAGTAGCTACTGTGCGAATATTGTCATTTAGTTGCCATACACGCCAATCTTCATCTTCTGCTTCAATAGGAGCAGTAACATTGGCATAATCGACACCTGCTACAGCATAGTTGTTTGTAAAGAACTGCGAAAATAGGATTGAAGACTGATTTATATCACCAGTATTTAAGGATGTATTGGTTGCATTCATGCCATCATCAAAATGATATGGCGCTTGTTGCTGCTCTTGTTCTTCTTCTTCTTCTTCTTCTGTCTCTACTGCTGACGCTACGACGGACGGCGTGCTGCTTGATTTTCTTCTCAACAATTTTGCTTTTGCTCTTCGGTTTTGGAACCAAATCTGAATACCACGAGGTGTCATTTCAAGTTTTTGAGCCAAAATGCGTCGAATGGCAGCACTTGGCTTTGGATTCTCTAGGTAGGATTTCTCCAATACTTTGAGTTGCGCACGAGATGTTCTGCGTCTATGCTTTATTTCGAAAGGATTGTAGAATGTGGGACGAAAATCACCATGAGGATACTGATGAAATGTCTCTAAAAGGTAGTTATCATCTGATTTTGTGCTGGCTGTGGTGGGGGTCGAGGTTGAGGTGGAAGCTGGTGATACAGTAAAAAATTGTTCAAAGGGTTGTAGTGTGTCCAATGTCATTTTCAGGTAAAAAGTAACAAGAGGAAAAAGAAGTAAAATTTGAATTGATTCATCTATAGTATTTTATATATATGCAATGCTATAAAAAAAGAAATTCCAATGATATACCACACATAAATGACAATCAGAAAAGACAGTGTGTATGTGTTTTTATCCGAATTCAGGATAGCATCGCATCCCCTTGAAGGAGTTGTTCCTTGGCTTTTTTTTTTTTTTTTTTTTTTTTTTTCAGCATCTTCAAGTCATCAATATATAGACTATTCACAAAGGAACCAGCACAACCATACATGATAAGGCCAGCAGAGTGAAAAAAAAAAGACATCATGGAAAAATCTCTAGTTTAACATCACCGGTATGTGTGTATATTATGCGCGCCAGTTGACGCTTGAACGACATATCCTTCTCACTCACACTCCATTGAATGGATAGATCGCATCATGATTGTACATATAAGGGCAAGTGAATCGCCGTGATATGTGTGCATTTGATGTAAAAATTGCAAAACAGACCAAACACACAGTAAGACACACTCTTCCAGGGATTCACTCGTGTTGATATTATTATTTACATGCGCATGAAAATCGATACTACTATTACCACTACTCTTCCTTTTCCGACGATGCATCATTGTCCTTTTCATAGACGTATCCTCTAGCAATGCCCGATAAGCCTTCTTGCACGTCGGCTGCTTCATCTTGACCCACGTTAGCTTCTAAGCCTCTATACGTTCTATTTTTAAGGTACTCTCCTACATAAAGCATCAACAAAAAGAACAAAGGGGAAGAGGAGGCATGATGATGAGAGGGATAGAAAAAAAAAATGAAATGACTACCTACCTGCAGTACTATTTAAAAGCATGGATATGCTCGTTTCCTTGCTTCTTAATGTCAAATCTGTCAATGTGCTTGTCAAGACTTCGCCAGAATCTAAATCCATGGATCAGCATTCTGATCTAAAACTCATACAAACTAGTGCTTTCTTACCACCTTGAGCTGGTCCACCACTGTTGGCTCTATGAAATGGACCTGATTTGTATTGGCCGGTAATTAAGGAGAAATGGGGCTCTTCATCACTGGAAGCATCTTGATCTTGTTCCTGAAAAAAAGGCATTTAGTTACCATTGGACAAGTAGACTGTGCCACATACCTCATCATAACTAAAGTCATCTGAACGCAATTGAGGTAAAAGCTTTGAGAAATCAGTAATATAATTTCCAGTCCATTCCATATCCCTTTTAAGATGAGTAGAGGTGAGTGGTGTAGTTGCATGAATATAAGTTTTTAATAATACCTGATAAGTGCAATTTCTAGCTCGAATGGGGTGACAATTGGGCGGTAAAACTCCTGCTCATTTCAATGTGATTAGCTTGTGTTTCCCCTGTCTTAAAAGAGGTGTATAAATATATATATAACATACCTTGGAATCAATCAAACTATTTTCAGGACAGGACACTAATACATAGCAATCCACTTCCATGAAATTAGCCATTTTAGCTACATTCAGCTTGCCCATGACAAAAAGGTAGGATTTTCTGCCAGCTGCCTTGATGACCTTCTTGAGATGATCAATAATGTTCAAATAAGATGCTGTCTATTGTGTCAATAGCCTGTCGTACCAACGCCATCAACAACTTACCAACGCCCAATGTACCCACAACGATACCAATGGTGTCTGCATCCTTGGCCTTTTGCACAAGGAAATACCGCTTCATCAACATCTTGTTGACTTGCACTGACTCTTGTCTTGCTTCTCTGGTCTTGGGGTTGTATGTGTAGACGGGACATTTGTTGTGCACCATCATAATGTTAGTCAACGTCAGACTCTCTCCTCCAACAAAGAAGATGGCGCATGATTCGATATCGATGCCTTTGGGTAACTCAAAGTAGCGGCCACCCTTCTTCTTCTCTGCCTTGAGTTCTTCCACGTCTGTATGCGTGGCTGGTGCAAGAATAGGAGACTCATCGTCGTCGTTGTATGCATCTTCTAAATCACGATCGCATTTTCCACAACAAGCTTCTCCATTCTTCTTTCGCTCTTCGTGTTTGCCGCAACCACCACTGTTTCGGGATGGTGTATGGTGCAACGTGTGCTGTAATTTGGATTCTGTCTGAATCACAGTGGGAATAATGTGCTGATAGGTCTTTGCTAATTCAGCTGTCAAACGCTCTGCAGCATAAGAGTATTCCACGTCGCACATGATGATAACAGGTTGAGATAAATCGGGAAATAAGGTCGAAAACTCCTGTTGACAGTGCTCCATGTCGATGGATTGCTGACCAAATACGTACAAGACAGGGGAGCGGGAGGTGCTTCTTGAGCATTAGTTTCTGTGTACACGCAATATATGGCATCCCACACTTACGGACTCAAGCAAGATCGACCATAATGTACAATCAGATCAGCGCTGACATGTTCAGCAGCCACTTCATCCACACAGCAACTACCATACGATGTATCTGCCAGGATGAAGATGTCCTGTCCTGTCTTTTCCACCAGTTGTTTAGCTACATTGGCTGCATCTGCTAGATATTCGTCTGGAAATTGGAGTGCAATGCGCCTGTAGTTGCCTTCCTTGATACGAGCTACCGTGCGATCGATTTCATATAGGTCTTCAATGTCTTGATGCTTTTCGCTCTTGACTTGTATTTGTCTTTCAATGACATCTTTGCCATCATCAGCAAAGTTAGTGGGTCCACTTGCTGCTGACATGCTGGATTAATAATAGTGCAAGCAAAAAAAAAAAAATGTTTTCCAATACAAACCATTTCGGATCATGTCCATTGAAGCTCTCGGTGACTCTATTTAAGACTGCTCTCGAGGTACGCTTGTCATGTAGATCTGTTGCATAAACCAGCCTCCTCAGCAAATGCATGGTGATATCTGAATCATCGGCTGCTTATTGGGATGAGTTCATGCTATTGAGTTCACTAATAAAATAAGAGCGTTACACTTGAGATGGACAACATGTAGAGTGATCGGATCCACACAACAGAGAGCAATGACTCATGTCGTTAGAAGTGGAAAAATACAAAGTAAAGGGCTACAAGGGATGTTTTAATTCAAATTCTTTTCGAAAGAAGTGGTGCTTTATATATATATATGATATGATGGCACATGATAAACAAAACAAGTTGGTGATTCAAGTCGAGGTGATGATGGTGGTTCAGAGCGACGGTAAGAGGATTAAGAGGTTAGGAAATGTAGTTGTATGGCGTTAATTAGAGTGATTCATGGCTTGGAAGGATTTACAGCTAAACGTTGGATTAATACAAGAGCACACATAAATGAACCAGCACACTTACAATAGCATCCATCTTTGCAAGCACATTCAAAACACTTGCAACGACTTCCAACGAGAGATCTGTTCCAGAGGGTATTTCAACTTTGCCGTTGCTACCAGTGAATGGCCAAGAGGAATAGTCGTTCATCAGCTCATCTACCTTGTTGAATGCTTGTTCTCTCAAATCAGGTTGAAGATAGAGCAGAGCATTTTCCAACACATTGGCTGCGTAGGCTGCACAGATCATGCTAACAGTTCTAACATAGGCATGAGGTACATCTGACTGAGCATCTACAGAAGCAGGTGAGACTCGAGTAATCAACATGGTGCAAGCTCGCTTGATGATTTCCTCTTTGACTGCAGGATCAGCTACTGGATGCGTGGCCATATCGAATAACAAAAAATTGCGTTTCTCTGTTCTCAATACACCCTTATCAACAAGACCTTTAGCTAAACGCTCACGAACTTGCTTTAATTGATATCCAATCTTCATGACATTCCACGTTTCGCCTAGCGAGTTAGTTTAAATGCGTTAGTCTACTTGCTATAGAATACACCCTTGGTAAACTTACCGCTCATCAAATCAATCCAGCTGGATACGCTCATCTTTTCGCTCATCTTCATCATTTTCAAAGCTTCGTCCAACAAAACTTCACCTGTCAGATTCTCGTTGATCACCTCAATGTATCTATCACAAAGAGGATACTTTCGGCGGTTTGAATCTTTGACCATGGCGATTCTTCCTCTAAGAGCCAGTTCAATGACTATACAACCACGCAGAGCGTAACTGATGCTGTCATTCCAGAATGAAAGATAGCCCTATATACGAGCAAAAACACGTGTTTCAGAGGCTAGATGAAAGAAGGGTATATCTTGTACATCCTGCTTACCTGTTTATCCTTTAAACCTAATAGCAACACCTCCTCCATCAATGTCAATTTGGGTGTAGATTTACTCTCGTCTATATCACGCGGGTCATAGGCTACTTTCTTGTCAGCCATGGGGCTGTTGCTGTGTTGTTGTTGCTGATGGTAGTGTTGTGAGGAATCGTTTGGAGTGTCATCGTCCGAGTTGGCACTTTGTCCTCCAACTCTTCTTCTTGTAACTGTAGACATGTCTTGTAGTGTGTTGTATTATGATGTGTTAAATGTAGATTTGTGGCTTTGGTTTTGCTATACACTGTATCTATAGGTAAAAAAGATAAAAAAGTGTATACATAAAAAGAAAAAAGTGTAGAGAGAAAAGAGAGAAAAGAGAGAAAAAAAAGAAACACTACAAAGAAACCAAAAGATGCGAGAGGTTATCTCAAGCGGCAAGCACACACATACACACACACACACACAAATTGAGTGCGGGATCACAAAGCCCAGCAAGCCAAGAGTTATTGCAACTCCATCGAATGTGGGCTCATTTGTGGATGTACTCAACAAAGAGACCTCTGTAATGTATAGCTGGATGGAGGAGCCGCTGACCGGTTACAATGAGTGCTTGGAAGAGAGGTGTATAGTGTGCGTGATATCGACAAAGGCAACATGGCTAATAGGAGCTATATTTAACATCCAAGGTTACCTAATACACGAAATGATGCTATAATGTACACAATGATTTGCGTTTGAAATTCATAATTTATTAGAAGGATTTGGCTAGCTACACCTTCTCAAGTTGTTCATTTACACCATGTTAGAAAGTGAATTCATCCAGGACATTTAGAAAAGTATATTGCGGATAAGATGCTTTGACAAGGCAAAGCGTATATAATAAGTTCGTTACATGTCATGTATAGTGCAATACAAATCGATAACAACAGCTTGCCTGATCAATTGCACTGTTTCTCTAGATGTTGTTGCTCTCATAGAGTTCTTGTATACTTTCAACCATGCGATGGCTAGAGCTCCTCTTGCTTGCATGTCAAGACGTATCAGTCATCTTTGGTCAGAGATCACAAAAGAACATCCTCGGTACAAGCTGAATAGCAGCTTTACGACACAGATGACTGTAGAAGGGATGCGCTAAAGAGCTTGATTGCCTTGCTGTCAAACAGTCAGTTGCACCGAACGAATCATCAGAGACAATGTCGCTTATATTAAAAACAAGCACACACGGCAAAGAATGAAGAATGCTGTAATAATACACTGTGTTGTGCTATTTAGTAAATAATAATGCATGAAATTAGACTTTATATAGAAATGAAATAATCCCATTTCAGGTATAATAAATCATTGAACTTCATCTTTCTTTCTTTCTCTCTCTCTCTCTCTCTCTCTCTCATATACACCATGTTCTCTGTTCGGTCTAGAAAGATTGCAGAAAAGACAGACGATCCGTTTGTTGTCAATGACAATGATGAAAAGTACGAAAAGAAGGGCATCGCATACAAAGAAGCTACTTGGGTGGCTGCCATCCATGATCAAGTGCGTCTCGCTGTGCTGTCATCACTGAGCCTCTATCTTCGCATCATGAAGCTAGGTTTCCCAGCTTACATCACTGACATTGAGATTGAAACCACAAAGCAAGTGAATTGGTATATGGCAGGAAAGTTCTTTATTGGCAGATTCCCTCCATTAGCAGGTCTTGTGTCAACGGGTTTAGCACGTCTTGCTGGTTACTATGGCACTGAAGAACTGGCTTATCCAGGACAGTAAGTCTTTCAACGCACCAAAGATCTCTACGCATAACTGACGCCCTACTGGAAAGACCCTTTGTAGATTTCCCTATTGTCGCATTAAGACGATTCTCAGCACTGTTAGGAGCGTCTCTTGTGCCATTAACCTATATTACCATGCGCACGATGGGCCATTCGCGCGCTGCAGCAACATTGGCATCTGCATTGTTAATATTTGGTAAGTGTATATCAAAAGTGTCAGAGTTTAATTAATGTACTGATTGGAATGGGGGGGGGCAGAGAATGGCTTTGTAACACAATCAAGATATGCTACACCTGAGGTATATGTGCTATTCTTTGGCGCATTAGCAACATGTTCGTGGGCACTGATGAATAAGCTCACGCAAGAGAGGTAGGCTCGCTATATACACATAGTGCTGCTAAATACTGATGTGGTCTTGACATAGTCATGGTAAGCTCACTGCCCAAGCAGGCTTTTGGCAAATAATGTCTGGTATTTCTGTTGGTTGTGCCATCAGTGCCAAATGGACAGGCGTGCTGATGATTCCCGCCTTGTGGGTGTCCATCTTGAATGACAGTTGGAACAAATTATGTGAAAAGCACAACAGTATCAAGAGCATTGTCAAAAACATCGTTACACATGTGCTTTCCACCATGTTGCTACCCTTGTGTGTCTATTTAGCCATTTTCCAGATACATTTCAACTTGATTCCCAATGCTGGCGACCATGATTTGCTGGTAAGCCCACATCTCAAGTACTCTCTTCAAGGCAACTCGCTTGAGCCTAGTCAACCAAGTATGTACTAGACAAACATTTACTGGAAACCAAACAAACAAAGCGTGATATTAACGCTAAAATAGACATTGCCTATGGTTCGCAAATTGTGATTCGACACGATGGCACTGTGGGCGGGTATCTTCACTCGCACAGAAAGAGATTCACTGGCGGAAGCACTCAGCAAGAAGTGACATTGTACCCTCACATCGATATCAACAACATTTGGACTGTACACAAGAACACTCAGATCTGGAACTCGTCTCAGCCTGTGGAATTTGTGCGCAATTTGGATCAGATTCGCCTTGAGCACTTTGCATCTACTCGTAAATTGCACTCGCATGATCATCGCCCTCAAATGACCAACAAGAAGGAACACAATGAAGTAACGTAAGTAGCGCCGAGATGATGGCTGTATGCGTGCAAACAAAAAAAAAAAAAAAAAGAGAGAGAGAGAGAGAGACTAAATAACCTATAAAAAGCGCCTATGGTGATCGCCTCATTCAGGATTCGCATGATTATTGGACATTGCGCGTGTTGGACGATGATGGGCTCCATGAAAAGAACAAGAACATTACCTGGAAATCACTCAACCAAAAGTTTCGCCTCACTCATGTCCGTGGTTGCGCTTTGATCAGTCATAACTCGTACTATCCTCCTCCCAACGGCGAGAACCATCAAGAAGTAACCTGCATGGTTGGTGCTGCTGCTCATGTCTCGTCCTGGATTGTAGAATCATCGTACCATGATCAATGTAAGTTGGATTCGCGATTAAGGGCTGTATGTAACATGTGCTCATCTTTCTTGTACAGTGGAAGGCATGCAAATGATTTCATACGGGCAAATCCCCACCAAGCAAAAGTTTAGCGAGGTGCACAAATTGATGGCAAAATATCCTGTTGTGGTCTACGATCGTCTTCAGACTGGATCACACAACGACGGTGCTGCGAATCCCAAGCTCCACAGTGAAGAGACTGCAAACAAATGGTTCTTTCAACGTGCTACTCTTCGTATTTGGAGTGAATTGGCTGGTTACTCGGCTCATCTTGTGCTCAATCCTATTGTCCAACGTCTCCTTTTGTCAACCATGGTAGCATACTTTGGCTTCTTGGGCCTGAATGCGTTCCTGGCACAGCGTCAAATCAAATTGCCCTCTTATTTGATGTGGCTTCATTCCGCGGGTAGGTCATAGCGGCATTGGCATCCAAGCGTGAATACTAATCCAGAACAGGCATGGATACACTGTTCAATGACTTTTACACAAAATCTATCGTCTTGTTCTACTCTGCTTCTGTCATTCATGTCAGCTGTCTTCGATTCTTGCCTGATCATGTTACTGCCATGCCCGATATTCTGGGAGCCATCTATTACGGCATTGGCCTCGTCGCAGTCTTTTTAGAGGCATGCACCAACCGTTTATCAGCCACGATCAGACGCATTGCATTATACGGCTTACTGTTCATCTCCATTGTCAAATTCTCTCAACTGTCGCATCTTTCCTACGGAGGAAAAAAGTGGTATCGTTCAGACTGTATGAAATCCGACCTCGATATTGATTGCATTCGATTCCCACTCCATGAAGCCGAGTTGGCAGAGATAGTTCAAAACAGCGGTCGCACTCAGAATTCCACACTATTAACCATCTACGTTGAAATGACAGGTAACACACAACAACCTTTCCGATATAACCAAGGCCAGGAAGCAGAGGCAGATAGTCATGTTGCTATTTTAAAACAACAAACATATGCCAAAGAAGCACAATCAGCAACAGGCACGCTTCGGTACCATCGTGTGGTCCCTACAGAAGCATTGACTCCAGAGCAAGCTGCCATATGGGCCAAGGATGTGCATGAAGGAGCTATGAAAAGACAGAAAGCCGCAGAAGAAGCTGCCCTGAAAGCCAAAGCAGAAAAGGAGGCCTCCAACAATGCATCAGCAACTACTGCTCCACAAAAGAAGGCCAACAAGTCCAAAAAGGCTAAAGTCGATGGAGGCCCTCTCATGGATTCCAACAAGTAAACTTCTTCTAGCATCTATAGTCATCTTTACCATATATTTAAATAAATCAACTCGCTGCCCCCCCCCCCCCTTTATCCGTTACAATAGGCACAATGCTACACAATACGTTTGAAGAGCAACGGATGGACTTGCAGACCTTGTGCACCAACTCCGCGTGCAAAAAAATTTTGCGTATATAAAGCAAATGAATTGGGCTTCCTGATTCCACAACTTAACCTTTTTTCCCTTTAATTCTCAACTATGGCCAAGACTGAATCAGGATCTCAAGGAAGGAGCTGTTGGACAAAGTTCCTCTTCATCACGACCTTGCTTATTGCTGTCTTTATGGGTTTGGATCAAATCAAGGAACGTTGGTATATCTTTGATCAAAACGTGCTTCAACAAGTGGCTCAAAAGAACATTGCATTGTACGCCAATGATACCCGCGCTATGATTACAAACATTGCATTGGATTTGGAGAAGGAATATCCTGGCCACATTGAATTGAAGGAGGAATGGGTATTCAACAACGCTGGTGGTGCTATGGGTTCCATGTATATCATGCACGCTTCTATCACTGAGTATGTCATTATCTTTGGTACACCTGTTGGAACTGAAGGCCACACTGGACGTTACTTTGCTGATGACTACTTTATTATTTTGGAGGGTGAACAATGGGCTGCTAATGCTGGTGATCTTAAGAGAGTTGTATTTAAGCCTGGAGAGATGCACCATTTGGCTAGAGGTGATGCTCAACACTACAAGATCCCTGAACATGCTTGGGCCCTTGAATATGCCCAAGGTTGGATTCCTCTCATGTTGCCTTTCGGTTTCTTTGATGCCATGTTCTCCACTCTTGATATCGTCTCCATTGTCAACACTATTCGTCTTTCTGCCAAGGCCATCGTTGGTGAATTGCTCATGGGAAAGATCTAAATTGAATTGATGCTTTAGAACCATCTTACACTTGTATACACCAAAAACCTTTTAATAGAATGATGTTTCTCGCTTAATAATAAACTTCAAGTAATTTTATACATACAAAATCCTTTTATCCATGCAAAACATCATGCTATTGTCCATTGTTTAAAAGTGGTATTCTCTCTGTGTTTAAATGGTCTGTTTCATGCTTAAATTACTTGCTCACCAATGAAAAGAGATGTTACCATTGAACTCAGGGCATATGATCGTAGCAGTTATCAGGTTGGATTATCTACTATAACACTTTATCACTAGGAAACCACAAGTATTAGTCAGTCATTTTTTTTTACAAGAAAAAAAAAAAAATAGCGTCTAGATCTAAACCATGACAAAAAAAAAAAAGAATTCAATCTAGTTATTTGAACAATGATAATCCATCTTGACAGTTTCAGCGCTGCAAGTTATATCAGCTTGTAACTAGTATAATTCCAATCTAGGCTTATACTGCAACGCCATAACAAGAGAATTACTTCAATTGTGTAAATGCAAATGCTATTTCACCCAACAGAAGCATCCATTTGACCTTATTAGGTCCAGGTAACAACTGCAGACAAGAATCGCCATTCCCAGATGATTCTGCCTAATGTAAAAATACATTCGCTTCACATATTAAAATTCACGTTTTTCATATCAAGGTTGGGTTATCAGATCAAGCTTCACCTAGGTGCTGGTAGGCCATGCAATAGTGCGAAGCTCCCTTATCATCGTCTTGATCATGCAATCTACAACACTTCTCGAGGGGCAAAAACCTCATCATGGCACAACAGGAAATGATGCCAGGACCTTTGAACAAATGTCTCCAACGTTTGTGTTTAGCACAAAGAATAAAAGGATTATTATTTTTAGCTCATAAAAAATGTTCGATATTATAAAAACAAGAAAAGGCTTATTTGAATAAGATCAGACACAAAAACTAAAGACTTATTGATGAAGACAAGAGTTATTCTATTTATACTAAGTTCTGAATGCCAAAGTAGCAATTTATCTTGTACAACGCTTATCACATCTGGTGAACCTCAGCATTTAGATAGCTGAGATGCACTTCAATTATCATGGCTTGTCCATATTGTTGCACAACACAGACATATCTACCCATCAAGAAAACCTTAATCTTTATAGACAGTTGTAGCCCTTCTAGCACAACAGTTTGTTCATAACTTGGCTGCATTTGTGCTGAATTCGTGCCTATATTACTTTCCCACATAATTAACTTGAAAGACATCCCTCACAAGAAGCAGTGTAATAAGTTCCAGATCAAATGTAGTAAATGAATCCAGCCAATTAATGAATTTAACTGTGAAATAACAGAGCATTGACAAATATATATTGATAACGAAATAAACCGAATCATCATATATTAAGAGGCATCTCAACTATATAGGCCAAGTACAATTGTTCTCTGCATTTCATAGAGAGGTATGTCAACACCTTGAACCGTAAACCAACAAGTTGATTGCGCAAATCAAAATCCCAAATGAAACTCACGTTGCGGACCAACTGACAGTTAACGTTGCGGCTCCTAGATAGTAAAATAGCTAAATAATACATGTACATTAGACACGTTGAATAATTACACTTATCATACGTTTGAATAAAGAAGAATATAAATTTTAACTATTTGGATACCCTTTTATTATAAAAACTATAGCATGATAAATGAAAGATCAATAGGAAATCTACTGGTTGTAGACCTTCGCCGTTTAGACTTCTCAGCCAATCAAATCGCTTGAAAACTCCGCTGACCTAGAAAAAAATTTGCGAGGGTTTCCCCCTGTTTTGATGTGAGGCAAAATTTTAAGCGCCGCTATAATAGCAATATAGCCACTGCTATCATTAAACTTCCCCCAGGTGCTAGAGCATGCCTTACTTACACCACCTAGCTTTTAAATTCTGGCATTGAGACCCTCAATCATCACTAAAGTAAGTAGCGATAACCAAGTGGAGGCGGCCTATCTACCTCCTAGCCTCGGATAAAGTCTTGTTGAGCTTCAGGGATAGGCACATCCACACAACGTAAAAAAAAGAGGTATGCTTCAAAGAAACATAATAATAATAGAAAAGAAAAGTAAATCACATGCTACGATACTATAGAAGTATAGTAGTATGTAAGCAAAAAAGGAACACTCACGCTAAGCGAGTCAAAGAAAAGTATAACATACACAACATTGAAGATGTTCAGAACAGCTCGTTGTTGTTGTAACAAAAATGCATACATGAACAACGTGCATGGTGGTAATAGTCGGATGTAAAGCAACACAAACACGCACAATTGCAGGAGCAACAGCAGTACTATAAGTATGCAATACAACATAATGACTAATGTTGTTTCATGTAAAGCCACAGAGGAAACACCGCCAGTAAAAGAAAATAAAGAAGAAAGCGCAACAAGGCAAACGTCATGAATGCGTTATCACAAGAAAGGAAGCAATTATATAAGCGTTCAAAGAAGTTTTATATCATTGCGACCAGAAGAAATAAGATACTTACCACTTACCACTGCCATAGATAAACCAGAAAAGTATAGGCAATTACCAGAGATAGACCAAAGAACGAGCATGCACCAAATACAGTAGACTGGGAAAGACCATATTAGCTACAGTAGCAGCAACACCAGCGCCATAGAAGAACCAAAGAATGAGCGACACCAGAGAACGAGCATGCACCAAATACAGTAGACTAGAAAAGACCAGATTAGCAGCAGCAACACCAGCAACACCGGCACCATAGAAAAACTAAAGAACAAACGACATCAGCAGTGAGCAGGCAAAGACCAAAGAAGTTACTTACCACTTGTCACCACCACAGATAGATCAGAAAAGACCAGATTAGCAGCAGCAACACCAGCAACACCGGCACCATAGACAAAATGAAGAACGAACGCCATTAGCAGAGAGCAGGCAAAGACCAAAGAAGTTACTTACCACTTACCACCAGAGATAGACCAGAGAACGAGCATGCAGCAAATACAACAGTAGACCAGGAAAGGCCAGATTAGCAGCAGCAGCAATACCAGCACCATGGAAAAACCAAAGAATGAACGACACCAGAGACCGGACAAAGGCTAAAGAAGCAACCACCAGACATGATACATCAAAGAAGCAGACAGCAAAGATAGCCGAGAAGTACTGGCAATAGCACCTACATATAACAAACAAAAAGAATCATCAAGACCTAATAAACAAATTCAGTTAGTGTTAATTCTACGCCTTTCAGTGCTCGATATCGAATGGTACCTAATATATTCCACTTTAAAGAAGCAGTATAAAGTACTTCTATCAGTGCACGACAGTGTTATTAGAAGATAGAGTGTTATTATCAATCAAAGAGTTTCCAAAACCACCATGGTTTGATATTAAACGCGTTTTGCAAAAAGGGAAAAAAAAAGGTGGTATGGAATAATGAAAGAACGCCGTATCCGACGTCACGACCATTAGAATTGGCCTCAGCCTTCTGCCGCGGCAGCCTTAATTGCGGTAATTTAATATGAATTTGTGCAGTGGGTATTTTCGTGTTCAAATTTGACTTGATCTAACGTCTTTTAAACGTTTTTGCCCAATTTGACTATAAAAACTCTCGTTATCACATCCGTCTTTCTAATATAACTTTACAGAACTAAAGAAGTTGCATCGAATGGCGCTCATTACATTCAGCTTTCAGATCGAAAATAATGAGCAATTTGCAAAAATATGAAAACGTGTTTTTTGCCAAAATGTCGAAATTTCACATAGGAAAATCTCATAGAAAGAGTTTCCAGTGTTGCATCCCGTATTTATTATCGATTTGATCTTATATTTATCATAGGAAAAATCTTCATTTTTTGGGTGAAAATCGCGATCGTTTGATTTACAAGAATTTTCCCTTGCTAATACTCGTAAAAAAACGATGATTTTCATGAATTTTCAATGAACCTGTGGAATTTGAGGCTTTACAGACTAAAATTCACGGAAAAAAAAGAATAAAAAAACAGTAATGTCAACTTGATAAAGGTATATTTTATTATCAAACTGACAGGTGTAAAGTAAACTGAAGTCTCTCTACTGGCCAGGTAGATGATCCTTCTTATATACTATAACAATGGATAAAAGTTCTATTAATTAGATTGACAAATAAGTCAACTCAGATCAACTAATGTCTAATCATGCTAAAAGACAACTCCAGCAAGCTAATCATGATTTAGCTCTATCTGGATGAATAATTAGACTCTCATCCGAAGTACCCTGATCTATCCTTTCTATAAGGATAATTAATATCGATCTAGTAGCATGTATCCAATAGGTACAGTCTTCTTAGTCTATATTAATAGTACATATCTGAGTGTATATCGCTAAGCATACATCTTTAGCATGTATCTGGATATATGGCATGTCTATAGCATATCGTATGCATGTCTATAGCATGTCTCATATATAGTACAAGTCTGTAGTACATAAAGTATCTGTAGCTAGTATCACGGATATAAGCATGTGTCTTATAGCGTGGATCATGAAGTGCACATCTGAAGCAACAAGCTCATATTGCATTAATCTTGGTGCCTATCCAGATATGGTAAACATCCGTAGTCAATGTCGGAATACAAGTATAAGTCTATAGTGCCATCCATGTCCGTGGTGCCATCTATAGCCTATATCTTATATAGTATGAATCTTATAGTACTAGCGTATCTGAAGTCCATATCTTCTCATGATCATAGTATAAATCGATATCGTACATCTAATCCAGTGTACATACAGTTTATATCTAAATCTGGTAACTGGATGAACTGTCGGAATGCAGATCATAGTGGATGTATTCCACAGAACCAAAAATTTTGAAATGAAGCATCAGCAAGTAAAGCGTAGCCAAGGGGAATCGTTTGGCACTATTCCAAGCGTCTTAAACGCTTTGTGGCATGGGTTATTCGAGTTGAAAAACGGTTACATTTGGACAGAATTTGACCTAAAAATGAGGTGTAGTAG